AGTTATGTTAGTTTACCAGAGGGTAGATTCATTCACTGGGTCAACCTTGGAATACCTTGTGAAATTCCCAGCGTTCCATTGAAACGGCTTCTGAAGAATTCTGACCAACCGCTGTACCTTGGATTCTGCGTGAGCGCCTTTGGCGCTCCAACGAAGCGAAAACCAACTACACCTTCGGACTCACGGCGGAAGCAGTGGCCTAGAAATTGACTCCTTGTTCTACCCTCTGGTTATGTCAAAATAGCTATTGAAAATGGCCATTTACAATGGATTTTCCCATTAAAAATGGTGATTTTCCATAGCTATGTTAATTTACCAGAGGGTAATCGAAAGCAAGGGCCTGAAGTACAGCATCTTTTGATCTGGAAGTGACCCAAGATATGAGATTATATGAGGATAAATTAGCCTCCCGATTTTTCCCGTATGTTCGTTGTTGATCTTGTTGCTGGCCACCAAGCTCACTGCACCCCGAATTGTAACATGAACCTGCATCCCGCAAAGTTGATCGATATGAAGCATGAACGGGCCGAAATGGCCCTCAGTAACAGCGAGGTTACTTTCGAAATCTAGGTTTTTTGAGCGGGCGAGGTCCATGTTATCAGGAGGATATCCTTCAAACAATGCAACGAAACCAGCAACTGGGGCAGAAACCAGAAAACCCAGCAGCCTTTGCAGGTCCTGAAATGGGACAGATCTAAGGGGACAGGGAAGGTCCAACCCGAAGTTTGACATCGTATGGCATCCCCCACACGATATCAATCGCTTTCACAAAAAAAACTCATTTCAAACAACCTCAAGTGGACGCCGCTGGTGACAACGAATCATACCAACCAAACAAGAGAGCCAACCTGCCAACCAAATGTGAAAAACACATAGAAACATTACTATTGAGTCATCTCTTTCTGCGAAAAAAACAAATCGCCGCATGGTTTGGTCTCAACATGCGGCACCCGTAAATCTCAATTATATCTCCGTATTGATGTCAACCCTGGATGAACAAACCATGGTTTATTAGGAGGGTGCTCCCCAAATAGTGGTCATCTATGGTAATCTAATACTAGTACCTCCCCAATCAAACAGCCTAGGGGTTTATTAATCTGGGGTTGACATTGTTGACCCACACCGAGTCCTTACTCCGTCAAGCTCCGAGGAAGGGGACCACTATCCGGCACGGTGTCCTGCAGGAATGGTAGATAAATAAACAAATAAACAAATTAAATAAATATAAATAAATGTATATATATATGTATGTATATAAATGAAAAACATGTTATATGTATGTATATATATATATGCTATATATATATATATACATATATATATATATATATACATTTAGTGTAGGATCTCCTGGTCAATTTTGAGGGAACTTATGTAAACACTATTGGTTCGGCGGATTTTTCCCTTCGCCCAATTATCCCAAATAACCCATTGGCATTCAGCAACATCACCTTCTATGGGCAATACATACCATGGAATGTTGGTAGGGGCACATGTGTCTCGCTTGATCTACAATATATATATATATATATACATACACATACATATGCATATATCATGGTGTATATAATACTATTGGTATATAACTCTATATATATATAGACAAATAAAACAAAAAAAACACTCTCTCTCTCTCTCTCTCTCTCTCTCCATCGCCATCTCCAAGAGTTTAGCCAAAGGCTAAACGCGAGCCACCGGCCCAATGCCCATATATATATAATTTTATATATATATATATTATATATATTTATATGTATATACATCATAAATTATGCATTATAATATAAATTTTTATTATTGAGGGCACAAAAGAGCCCCAAAAAGCTTCCGAAAACATCGAACCTCGCAGCTGCGAACCGAGGTAATCTCGCAGCTTGCCAGCCATGGCTGATAGAGATCCTTTCCAGTAATCAAGCATAGTAATTGGAAATCCCGCAATTTCAAAGCTTTCTCTGGGACAATTATTTATGATTATCCATGTAGCAGCCAAAACACATTAACTATACCAATTATTTTTCTAGTAGGATTTTGCTTCTTTTTTGGTGTTGCTACACATGGTTGATGTCAAGTAAGGATTAAAAACAGTACCATGCCATACTAGATAAACCCTTTCCCCCCCCAGAATTTTGGGCAATACTAGGTGTTTTTTTGACAGAACGTGATTTGTGCTTCAAAAACTAACACGCTGATGTTTACATTGTTTTGTTGTCAAAGGGGGGTCTGAAGCCTAGGTTTAAAGAAAAAACTATATCTCACCTCAGCAAAGGCTGTCATATGCTATCATAAATCCCTGGTATCCAGAATTCAACTTTTTCCACTGAGGTTTGCAAAGAATGATAAGCAATCACTTGTAATTGCAAACGCACAAGCACACATCTATATATATAAATATATAATATAACTTTATATATATATATATATACATACCAAACACACCAGCCGCAGTGCATCCAGAAAGAGGCTGATTCCGATAGAAATACCCCTCATGGATGCTAATTCCTAGCTGATTTCATCAAAATTTTACCCTTGCGGATGCTAATGTGGAAGCTAACTTCATCAAATCTCACCCCTCATGGATGCAACACCGCAGTCCACTAGAATTGAGACCTCATTGACACATTGATGGTTATATACAGCTAATTCCCTCCAAATAGACCCCAATGGACCCGCCATGGATATCCCACGGATACTACTTGGCTTTTCCTAGCAGCGGGGGCCATGGGAAAACACAACTTTTCAGTGAGAAACTTCTGAGTGACACGTTCTTCTTCTTCTTCTTCCTCATCTTCATCTGAATTCTTCAAATCCAACACCTTATGGATGCCTTTCACGCAGCATCCCTTTCACTAGAATTGACACCTCATTGGCGCCTATATGCACCTTTAATTCATCAGGCCGGGAGGGCCAGGTGAAGTTGCCAGGGTGAGCCGCTTGGGGCCCTTGGGGCACCCAGGTCCTCCAATTGGAATCCCACCTTGGACCTCAGCTGGTTGGAGGTGTGGCAACCTGCTGGCCAGGTGATTTCTGGGGACCACCCTAGTGAGAATCCTGCTCCGTACCGTAGCTTGCCAGAAATCCAAAGCACAGCCATCTGGAAAAAAAAAAGCTCAAATTCGGGGAGCGACATCCAACAACGCCCAAAAACGCTGAATTTGAGGAGACAACATATACGAGGGATGCACAACATAGATCGCATAGATCAGCAAACCACGAGCCAATCAGACTTCAATTTCGGAAAAAAAAAAAATATGATCCCAACTAAGATCTGTGTGTTGTTTCTTAGCCCTTTGAACTGACCTTGACATTCCCTAAGGATCCATGTATGGAATATTTACCTACATTGGGACTTTTTTAAATTACTTTAGGGGTCAAGGTAGGTAAATATTCCATACATGGATCCTCTGGAATCCTCTGGGATTGTTTGATGAGCACATTTCGTCCAAGATTCCAGGTGGACACGTGGACCCAAAAACCCCCTGCAATTGTTGCCAAATGCTTAATGAATCCACCACCACATATCTTATGCATATAACTAGTATAACTAGACAAAGAAAGAACCACATATACACATGCATGTATATATATATATATATATATCCATCTATGCATTATACAGTATACATACATTGAATACATACATATATATATATATATATAATCTTAATACATTTGCTTACACCTGGATTGTGGCACTCACAAGGCCAAAAAGCAACTGGCCAAGGGGACGGGGACCCGGGAACCACCGGCATTTTCCCACTGGATCCGGGGTACACTCGTCGAGTGGGGCTAGTACGTCCGGACCTCAGAGGGCCATCGAGGGTCGAGACATGTCATCTGGGTAAATCCTGTAGCAGTTGGGAACTTTTGATAGCTATGAAACATGCCAAACACTGTACACAATGGGATAAAAAAGAGGATCAACATCGGATAAACCAACTAGCAACTACAATTTACGTCACTAGTAACTAGCCTGAAATTTTATCATTGGATGAACTTGGGCCATGGCTGGGGATGATTCCCCAGCCATGTTTTTTCCATGCTTCCAGAGAGGTCACGCCGTGAGGTCTGCAGTTGTTAAGCTGGAGATGCTGGAGATGCTGGAGATGCTGGAGATTTCAGCAGAAACCATGTATACTTCACTAGCCTGAAGTGGATCATGTTGAGGTTCTGTTGCACTCACACATGATATCATCACTTAGGAAGCGGTGGTCCTCGTCATCTTGAAAAGGGTCTATCTCAAAAAGAGCTTGCTTCAAAAGCTCTGCAAAATTCACAAATGACTAGTTCGAACGAAACATGTGCCATGGTCACAAATATCTACGGAGTATGGTCATCCCACCATCAGTCCTTATACTGGGTATATATAGATTATTAACCCCTAAAAAAATGGGGGATGACCATCCTTTTCCGGGAAATAAACCATGTGTTGTTTTGCCAGGGTCCAACTCCCTGACTTTGGAGGGGTCAAAGTGAACAACTTTCTCTGTCAGCGAACATCCACTGGCTGCAACCTATGGCCGCAACATGCTGCAAGATGATTTTTTCTGCCCCAAGGTGCTCTCCCAACGAGAGAAGCGAGCTTGAAGGGCACCGGTAGGGCAATAGGGATTGATTATGGTGAATAAACTCTTAATGATCTTAATGCATATGGTTATCATTGATTGTGGCTTTGACTGTGTCTAGGCTGCTAGCTTGTGACCCAAAGCTATAACAAAACATAACATATCATATGAATCATAATTATTCCCTTAAATCATCTTAAATCACGACCATTGACCACCCGGTTTAAGTACCCCCCACATCATGACAACGACCAACGTTGGATTGATCGGTTCAGTGGTCAGTTCCGAAGCCTTACTCAATTTCCTACTCTTAGATAGGCTCCCGTACAAAAAACTCACATTCGCCACTGAGCTTCATAGCATTTCATAGCTCCAAAATGCAAAAACAATTGCTGGTTGGTGGTTTTTCGCCACCCCTCCGAAAAATGATGGAGTTCGTCAGTCGGGATGATGAAATTCCCAATATATGGAACATAAAATTCCATGGTTCCAGTCACCACCAACCCAACCAGCAATTGGTAGTACTAAACTGCCCGGTCCACCACTTGGTGACGAAGTCCCATCCACAGAATCCCATCCAAAGGGCTCCAGGTCGCGTCGTTTGCGCACCAACATGGAGGTTAAGGAGGCAGTGGCTGTGCCGTCTTCCCGCAAGAAACCTGCAAAAGCGTCCGCTTTTTTGCCCAGGACATCCCGGATTTGTCTTTGATGTTTTACTGATCATGAGACATTTTAAAGGTTCAAACTTCTCAATGTTCAATTTTAAGAGGATTGTACGGAGTTGTACGGTAGCTACATCTAACCAGGCCATTTAAACATACGGAATCATACTACCTCTAGGGCCTTGTGGTCTGGTCCGCCCTCCACATATTTAAATGTCGTTACCGTATATATAAGCCTTAAGTTTTTTTTTTAGTGGGTTAGTTCAGCCCACGTACTTCAGAGGGGTAAGCAGGATTATATAATCCACTTAAAAATCATGTGAACTAACCCACGTATTATGATCCCAGGGGTAAACCAAAAATTAAGTTCTCTTTGCCAGTGCCTTTCATGACTGTTCATGGTACAGGATTTACCCTAAAAGAATCTTAATTAGTTAACCTTTTTAAACATCCATGGATCATTTTTTTTAATATTACATAGTATGCCAATCTTGAAATCAAAAAATATCAATAGATTAAAATACTTTCCAACCATTGGCCAACAGTTCACCAGAATTAAAAAATCCAATAGTTGGATTGGATGGTTTTTCTCGCAGGGACTGCACCGGCAACAATGCAGGGTCCAACTGCCACTGGGTTGGTATGAGACAAAAACCCAGGAAAGCATTGCTTGTCGCAATTGCTACCAGTAGATGTAACTGGTTCCTTAACATTGTCCCCTCCAATTGATGCTTGTGACAATTCTCTGTCTTTGCCATCAAACAGTTGTCTGATCCACTCACTGTTTGATTTCGGGATTTACATAATACCACAAGTAAAAACTATTTTAGTCAACGACTCTTCATTTATACTTGCAACCTATAGTCCAAATATAAATATAGATATGGACTGGTCGTCACGTCCTTTCTTCCCCCATTTGCCAGAGCCATGGGGCCCAAACACATGGAAGCTTCCCTCTTCAAGTCTTTCCATCTCCTCTGTTCAAAGGGAACATCATCTTGAATAATCACCTTCTTGGGGTGTCACAATCGACTTCTTTCAACTAGAATTATGTCTCTTTGGTGGTTGTTATAACCACCATAAACCCATCCATTGAGCTCGTTATGAATGATAAACCAACTTTGGACACTTTTACCAAACAAAATAAGCTCCAGGACCACAAAATCCCTGTAATTTTTCATGTTTATTCAATGATCAAATCAGAAATTCATAGAATTGCCATGTAATTGTTCATGATTCAATTATATAAAAATCCATGTAATTATTCATGTAATTCCAGGGTATCACATCCCCATTTTCAGTTCTCTAAAATGGGTGCTGGCAAAGGCACCCAGCAACTCATTGGTCTCGATGACCGGCTTGGTACCTTCGATATGCCATAGCCAGCTGCAGTGTGGGAGATACCTGGAGCTGTGCTACGCTGAGCGGTTGGAAAATTTAGAAAAACACCATGGCTGGTTGGTGGTGCAATAACCATGATTAATGCTGAGTAATAGTGTTTAATAGTGATTGATAGTGATTAATAGTGATTAATAGTGATTAATAGTGGTTTTAACCATGGTTATTAGTGATTAATACCCGATCCAATGAATAATATGGCTGGTTGGTGGTGCAATAACCATTGTTAATAGTGATTAATAGTGGTTTTAACCATGGTTATTAGTGATTAATACCCGATCTAATGAATAATATAGCTGGTTGGTGGTGCAATAACCATGGTTAATAGTGATTAACAGTGGTTTTAACCATGGTTATTAGTGATTAATACCCGATCTAATGAATAATATAGCTGGTTGGTGGTGCAATAACCATGGTTAATAGTGATTAATAGTGGTTTTAACCATTGTTATTAGTGATTAATACCTGGTCTAATGAAAAATATAGCTGGTTGGTGGTGCAATAACCATCTTGAAAAAATGATGGAGTGAAAGTCAATGGGAAGGATGACATCCCATATATGAAATGGACAATTTTAAAACAAGTTTGAAACCACCAACCAGATGGGAATCTTCTTGAATCCAGCTTGAATCTAGATAAATCAAAGACAGTCCAACTCTCGCACTAGAGTCACTAGGATTTGGTGTGACAGAAAGGATCGGAACAATAAGCATAAATTGACCATCCGCGTTCCAGTGGTTTTCATAGCCCCCATCCAAAAAGCAACACCTTCTCCCCTCATCTCCCATCGATTTGTTTACACGCCCCAATTCGATGTCCATATAGAGGATTTCCCAGTGCCACATTTACAAAAAACGGGGGGTATTTTGATTACTCGCCTGGGTTTGCACCCAAGCAGTTCCCCAGTGATTTTGCTGGACACTGCGGTCCCAGTGACACTTGCATCGAACCAGGCAGAAGTTCTTGGAGATTGTAGGCAGCATTTTGGACAGCCTCACTGGCTCATTCCCGTTGGATTCTGGGAATAGATGGTCTAATTAGGAATCATCATCCCAGGATATCCGGGGCAAGGCATACATCAATGCTGGTGCCAGAATCAGTGACAAACTCGGGGCAGTTGGACCGTTGGACCGGCAGTTTTGCGGCCAAGCCACCTGCAAGTTCTGCGACTAAACTAAACTAGTCGAAGTTCTGCAACCCGAATTCATCTGCATACATGACGCATGCTATCCAAAACCAGAAAAGCAAACAGAACAATTGGACAATTACCTAGCTTCAACCCCGGGCCAAATAATCCCCAGCGCTCTTTAATTGATGGGGTTGACCCAGAAAATACTGATGGATTAATAGTATAGTTATATTTAAACATATCTAAACAATGGTACTCACCCAGTTAATTAATACATGTTAATATGTTATATATCTATAGATATATCTATATATATATATACATACATATATACATAGATATATATATATATATGTATGTGAACGATATATGATGAACTGAGGTTCTCGTCAAATCCTGGCTTGAAATTACGCAAATGGTGGATGTTCCACTGTCAAGTTCGTACATCTTTGGAGGATTTGGAGCTGGGTGGAGGCGGCTCATGCTACAGGTCACGCTAGTGTGAGTGGGCACGCCATGCAACAAATCCATTCAAAACACCATTAAACAGAATGAGTTTCCCAACCACCTTATAGTTATATGGATATATATATATATATACGGTAACTATATATATATATGTGTGTGGTATGATGCTTATGTTCCCAATTGTCGTAGTGATGAAATTGGACATACCCTCTGAGAAACAAACATAGCAATGGAAAATCAACCATTTATAGATTATTGTCCCATGAAAACATAACAAAAACCACCATTGATCTAGGATTTTCAACTGCCACATTTGATGACCGGAGGATATGTCCCAATGTGGGGCCTGACATTTACATCATATTCCCATGCCGCAGCCACGTCCCTTTTTTCGGTGCTGGCAGGTAGCCGCCAGTGGGGAGTGACTCCCACATGCCAAGATCACATAAATGGACCTGCGCACAGAAACTGGTGGCCTTCAGGCCCGTTAGACATGGCTCGTGGAAAATGTCTGGGTTGAGAGATAGCTATATAATGAGTTGCCAAAAAATCTGAGTCAGTAAGTCAATAGCCCTGATGATTGCAGGTCAGTCCTGTAGCTATAGTATATACACCAAGAAAAACATGTTACTGTATAAACATGGTCATCAACCAATCACTGGTGTCTCATACATAAATCGATCAGTGCGTTATGTTGCAAAACTATGGCCATGAACCAGCTACTATTATCTCATAGAAATCTCTGTTCCTCTCAAGCATAGCCCCCAGCTCTGAAAATGAATGTCCTCCAATTTAAAAGAAGTCTCATCATATTCCTCATGAACAATGGTCATGATAATCATGTACTTTGGGGTGTTTTCCATTATTTTCAGACACACCCAAATATCAGATTGCTGGCTGTATGTCCCACTACCCAAATATCAGACTGCTCGCTGTATGTCCCACTTACGTATATCCCATCAATGAAATTCTCAGCATATCAGCATATTCCCATCAATTTTGTTGGTTAAACATGGTTAAACCCTCCATTTTCAGACACTTCAAGGAATCCAAGAGATGGTCACGGCCACTTAAATCTTGCACCTGGGGGGCTGCCAAGGTGGTAGTTGCTTCAGCACTTGCGTCAATTTCCTGGCCCGGGAGAGAGGACCAAAGTGCCCAAAATTGTCATGTTTGGTTATATATATATATTATAAGAAATATGTCAATTATATCCAATTTATTTGTACATAAATAAATAAATGACAGTAAATAAACATATAAATAAATAAATAAATAAAAATATATATATATACACTGTATATCGTATGGGGGGTTCTTAAGTCGAGTCATGATGGATCCCTAAGTCAGCATGGTTGTTTCACTACCAAGTTATGGTCTAATGACTTGGATGATTTGGAGCTTCCCCCATGACTTAGGAAACCTTGAAACTGGAAACCTGGTGTGTAGGAAATGTGAAAAAAATGGTGTTCACTTTTGCGTGAAGATTCTCATACCAGAAGAGATCAAAATTATGAATGCACCAAATTTGGCTCTTGGAGTCACAGATTCACTCTGTAGCAGTGGCATCTCTCTCTCTCTCTGCCAATTGTGATGCATCTCCCTTGGTTCAATAGAACAGGCATCGATATACACCAATTTGTCAATTTTGTGATTTTGTGGGTCGGAATGCCTTAATTTCATCATGCAAAAATTGCTCTGGATCCACATAGCCATTACACCCACATAGCTGGCTGAACCCACACGACCAGTAGTACAAATCACATCCTCCAGAAATTTCTGGCAGAATGAAGGCCCAGGATGTATGTACAAATATAGTTGTATACAACTGTACGTATATTATACGATGTAATATACATTATATAAAATATAATATATATATATATAATTAAAAAATAGATTAAATTCATATTATACAACACTTGTCTATTGCAAGCTAGATATTGACACGTTTCAAGCGCTTTTAAACGGACAACTGCACCATCGTTGTCCACGACGATTTTCGACCCGACCCGATGGCGCCTCACAGTCCACGTAGGTTGCAGCACCCCCATCTTCCTCAGAAGGATTGGGATGGAAAATCCCCGAACTAAATGGAGGTTTTTGCTCGAAAATCATCGAGCTAAGTAACTAAATGGTTATAATCGGTTATATAAATGATTGTAAATGCTCATAACATCTCATAACCCATTCTGAATGGGAAAAATCCATGTGTTTGTACCAACCAACCCATCTTTAGTCTACTTGAAAAAACCCGCCGTTCCATCCCTGTTCCAGTGATTCATTGACGACTGAGGCACCAAAAAGCATCTGATGCGCTATTCAAAGCTGCTTCATACTGCCTGTGCATGGCCTGGAACACGGCTGGGTGGCCCAGTGCATGGCTGATAAAAACTTATCATGGCCTGGACAAGGTCTAGGTCCAGAAAACATCAGAAAACTGTGACGGCTGACTTGACGGACAATCGAAAAAGTAAGCGCTGGGAAGCTCCCTACTATCGGCAAGCGCATGTCTGAAACCAAGCAAATCCGACCGCTGGGCCCAGGGCAGAGTCCATCAACTCAGCCTGAGAATCCAAAGGATTTCATCGGTGACCATGGCTACAGAAAGGTGGAATGATGTGTACACATGTGTACTGCATGTGCTAGTTTGCTATCTGACAAACTAAATCAAACAAATACATCTAAAATACAACATCCAAACCCCTGTGCACGTGGGACGTGCACCGAATTGGTGCAGCTCTTAGAAGTACTTGGTCACAAGAGGTGCCTGGTAGGTGAGATTTCATCCGGATGAATGGGTCGTTCACCAGAACAAATATCCTTTAATCTTAACTTAACTATAAAATGGTCCTAGAATCCCTCAATTGCATCCCATCATTTATATATATATATTGTATGTGTATATATATATATATATTAGAGTATAATAATATACCCCCCCATTCCCCAGTGACATCCCATCCAATCTCCCATTTGTGGCATCTCCAAGTGGCCACTCCGACGTCGTCACTGTGAGGGTCCGAAAAGTAGGCTTTGGCCAAGCTGGGCGCAATGGAGAAATCGCATAACCTGGGCGTGGCGACGGACAACGGGATCAGTGCACTGGTGAACAACCCATAACCCATGACGGATCCATGTATGGTATATATGCTAACATTATGTAACATTTACCATCAATATACCCCCTTTATGTTACCATATATGGCATACATGGATCCTATGGGATAATGTCAACCCTGGATTAATAAACCCCAGACAGCTGTTTCATTGGGAAGGTACCAAAAAAAGTATCGTATCAAATCATTGGGGCTTGGGGGAATAATTTTCATTAAACCATGGTTGATTTTACTCCGGGGTTGACATTACAAGCCATTCCCAAACAACATATACTTGCTACCAACTTTTTCAAAGGGATGGAAAGGTCACGCATAAAGTCGTTGCGGCCGAGCATCATTTTGCTCAATTTCTTCACATCACGATGCCTGCGCTGCCGCAACGAAAAGATGTAAACACACATACTTTGTCGGCATTAAATGTAATTAATAATATAGATACATACTGATACAGTACAGGATATACCCTCGATAAACAAACATAACTATGGAAAATCACAATTTTTTATGGGAAAACTCACTATAAATGGCCCTTTTCAATAGCTATGTTTGTTTACCAGGGGGCAATATGGTAAACCAAGGTTTCTGGACAGCTGTAAACGGGGTAAAGGGGGAAATAGTTCATGTGGACAAAACATAATCACAATGACCATAACAGCTGTAACCCCCCCTATCCCATCCCATTATGCATCTGGGACTGTAAATAAATAAATTAATTAACTAATTAGATAATTAATTAATATTATATATATATATGTAATGTAATGTACTGTACCCTAATGTAATGTATCTGCGCAAATTACAACATTTCACTAACCTGAAAAGTTTGGCTGGAGATAATTCCCCTTAGATCCCTTAGTTAAATGCTTCGGTCACGTCAACTCCCAACGAGGTCCGACCCGCCTTGCCAGGTCCGACAACATCTCTGCACGGCCTCTGAAGTGTTGGAGAATGTCGCTGGGCACATTGTGATCTGAGCGGCTCCCATGGCTGATGGTGATCTCCCTTGGTGGCCTCTCTTGGTGAATGATACCCTCTGGTAATTTAACAGTTTGCTATTGAAAATGGCCATTTATAGTGGATTTACCCATTAAAAATTGTGATTTTCCATAGTTATGTTAGTTTACCAGAGGGTATGTTTTTTTTTTTGCCCGAAACATGCCAGGCATTTTTGGAATCGTCATCCTTTCTTTTTAGCTCCAGTATTTTCAGTATTTGTTTGAAAGTGGTTGAACTCGCAGTCGAGCTGCTGACATGACCCATACACGAGTATATGCGAGTAATGTCAGCCCAGCACTGATAAACCAGGGTGATGCTGGAAAGCGATAGATTACGATCAGGCATTGCAACCCTCCACATTGTTGATATTTTGAACTGGAAGGCTATCACTTCTGGATTAGCAGTAAACCCCTTTTTCACAAACAGTTCATTAGCAAATGATGATGATCCAACTCCGAAAACGGAGTTGCCAAACCATCATTCACAGTCTCTTCCGCGCTTCAATGCGCTGGTGAATGAGTTTCCGGTCTAGGTCAAGGGGCTAAAGATCCAGCTTGGATTGATGGTCAGCACCTGGTGCGATCGTTGTACCATTGAAGGTAGGGAAGCCATCAGCTTTACCATAGATTTTGAGGCTTTCATGGAATATCATATTAGATGCGGTAGGGAATATATATATATATGCACGTATATATATATATGTATATACATTATGATTATATGCGTATTAAAAAAACAAGGTAGCAAAACCATTCAAAGAATCTCACAGAATTGGCTGAATCACGCGATTGGGTTAAGGCAGATTGGAGGTGTCTGCCCCTAAAACAATGCTTGGATTGATCGGACAGTCAATTCATCTGCCTGAGATACAATGTCTTAACATGTCTTACCCTCAAGTAAAACTAACATAGCTATGGAAAAATGCCCATTTATAGTAAATTTATAGTTGATTTACGGGCAGGACTGAGGGTTTGCCCGGAACGGAATGAGAGACGTCTTAAGGAGGCTCATTTCACTGCGCGTGCGCAGTGTTTTGACTTTGGTACATCTTTGGGTTTCTATGTTCTATGTCATGTTTTTGGAAATATGTCGGAAAAGTGAACCCTCTGTGGACTTCATGCGTGTCGGCCTTTTCCCGTTTTTCACTTTTTTGGCGAGTCTGGAGTGTTCATCTGGTATAACGGTATGACTTTGATAGATTTTTATGGACTCTAAATGAAACCCTAATAGAAGTATGGTTGATTGTTCCATGGGGCCGGGGGATTTTCCAATTGGTTGATATCCCTTGGCATGTCACCCCTTGGCGCACGTTGAGTCGACGGCAAGGCACACCAGAAAGCCGATCCCAAAGTTTCCAGAGCACAGGTAGTGCCAGGCCATAGGAGGAATCCTGGCCATGTCAGACGCCAATCTTTAGGTATCTCATTGGATTGGTTTAAGGGAACATCTACAGCAAAGCCCTATATTTCATGGTAAAAAAACATGGTTTCCGGTTAAGATTTTCCCATCAACCAATCCATTTGGTATCCTGCATTGTTCTTTAGGATCTGTTTTTAAATGACATGGCAAAAGAACATGAGATCCAAACAAAGAACTATAATAACAAATATGCACTTCAGCTTGGTTAGTAACAATGTTAATGATATAACTAATATATGTTTATTTGATCCTGATATCTCCATTAGAAGATTGCTTGGTACTATACGCTAGCGTTGGTCTCAATTCGCCGATCCAAGTGGGCCAAGTATGGCCAAGTCACAAGCACATAGAAGCGGTAGTTGAGTGGCAACACATCAATCCTCAGCGATCGATGATCAATGCACTCTTCACGTGTGGACCCGAGCTGCTTGGGAGCTGCAAAATGTATCACACTTACTGTGCATGTAGATGTTATCTATATATTACACACACACATATATATATATACACTACATTACACATGTATATACATGTAATATATATATATATATTATATATATATATATGTGTGTGTGCATATGTGTGCATGATACATTTCCGAGACTTGCTGTACGTTCCTGCCACTACTGTGAGTATCTTCCGATCATTTGTTGCGTCAAAATTCGGGTCCAGGCCCGGTGGATCTTCCCCTGCCATCGTTTTTTTTTTTGATCTTTCGGGAATCATGGGGAATCCGGGGAAAACATGCCGGCCCAAGGGACACGTGGAAAAGATCGTTATAGAAGGCCTCCCCTTCGTGTTCCGGCTCGTCCGTGTCCTCTTCGAGAAGGCTTGGAAGCACCTGGGACTGAACTATGCACGTGGGGTAAATCTCCAGCAACTTGATATAGATAAAAATATCAACCAAAATTCTTCTTAGGACATGGACATGACATGGCTAACTCTCTCTCTCTCTCTCTCTCCATCACCATCTCCGGGAGTTCAATGTACATAATCCATCATAATCCCAAAGATAGTGCATGTCATTGGGTGGCCGTAGGCTCCGAATGTGGCACACCCGCAACTAACCCCATAGAAATATCTATCAAGTTCTTAATCAACACCTACTTGGTGTGTGGAACATTTTACTTTATGATATTTTATGATATGTTTTGAGCTGGTTGGCATGCATTCACGGTGGCAAACAAAAAAATAGAATATAAATGTCCCATCCAATTGATTTCGCCAGTCTTGTAGCATACTGACCAGGGCTGATCTCCGAGAATTGGGGACACCCCCCCATTTTATGACAATCTACCATCTGGTTATTTAACATAGCCATGGAAAATACCTTATAAATGGGCAATTTTCCATGGCTATGTTAAATAACCAGAGGGCAATTAGGACATATGCTGATAAACCAGGGGGTATTGAGGATCTTTTGGTATTTTTTGGCACCCCATTTTCAATCAAATCCAAGTGAGTGCGACAGATTTTGCAAAATGAGCCTGGCCAGTGGGCTTTATTCTTTGTTCTTGTGCAAAAAGTCAAGAGACTGCTTCACAGCCAATACAGAAAATCTCGCAGCCCTGCTCATACGCAAGCATCTTCAATGCAGGCTCCTGCCCGTGATCAACGCATAGAGTATAGAGCATCGGCCAATTACAGGTGGCAGCTCATACCAGCAGTGGGGATGCAAGTCGATCCACGGAAAAAAATGAATGACCAAACAACCCAGGGGAGAAACGTCTTCAATATATGTTTCAATTAGTCAAACATGGTTCCATGCGCATGTTTTTGACAATTGATGCTCTATATCATTTCCTTGCTCTCCTGAAGAGACCAGGGAAGAAGTCGCCCAAAGCCAAAGTAAAGTAATGGCTCCTGAGCGCAAAGCCATGCAAAGCCTTCGCACAGTTCGGACAGTTGGGGAAACAGTCCGATGTCCGAGAATTGGAACATCTACCCTCTGGTAATTTAACAGTTTGCTATTGAAAATGGCCATAGAAATAGTGAGTTTTCCCATAAAAATGGTGATTTTCCATAGTTATGTTAGTTTACCAGAGGGTACCCCGTATCACCTGAAAAAAAATGGAGTCTCTGGCACTTGTGGAACATTATCAAACCCTGCGAAACAGTGCGTTACGATCTCACCATCTCACCCAACAGGACCATGACACGTGCAACGCATGCAACGCGTGCAACGTCACCAAGCATCTCTCTGAATATGTGTCGGCACAAGCCTCAGCCAGGTGCTGGATGAAATGATGGCTGCTTCCAAGCTCAGTGAAGCTCACAAAAATGCTAGCACAAACATGGGATTAATATGGATTAAAAGGGATCGAACATGATGGGAGAAAAAACATCAGCAAAGGGGTTCAGGAATGGGATTGACTCCATTGGCTGGATTGAAGCCAAATATCATGTGTGGAACCAGCAACCAGTGGAACCAGGATTTTACAGGTTAATGTCCATCTCCACCAAGACCCTCCAAGCACCTACAAAAATATTCATACACACCATACATTTACCCAATACAGCAATACGCACACCATACATATACCCAGTACTTTGGCACTTTTACCCAAACATGTGCATACTTGGACACTCTAAGTCAACATCTTCGTTGCTACCCAATTTTTGATGGCTCGAATCCGAGACCCAAGCCGTCCAGCTGTGTGGGTCCAGCTTTGGAGAAAAGACCTAAACGAGAATCAAAGGGCCTATTTATTTCAAAGACATACAGTTTTAAGGCTATTATATCCGGGGTCCATATTCTGTTGTTTTTGTTTCATTAATTATGTTGCATGTTTAAGTCTTTAGGTAGGAACCTATTGCGAATAAGACTTGTGACTTATAGGATTATTATATATCTAATATTAGGGTATAATTACATACTAGTAACAGGATGTCTAGTGCTATTATATAATATATTCTAATGTTATCTACATGTGCATGCAGGAGGTATAAGCACACACTGTCACACAGCACCATACCTATTCACAATCTTTGAGGCACTCACTGGTTGGTTTTTCGGACACCAAAATGAATCCAAGAAGCACGTGAACTATCCGCGAGGTGCCATTAATGTTTAGACCTTGGCAATGGTGAGGTTGTAGAGGGCACATTTTGCAGCTCCAGGGTGTGCAAAATCATAATGACACAAGAATCCACTATTATCACTAGTTATGTTTTTGGGTTTGTCCGGAAATGTGGTATAATTAGTAATTACCCGAAAATAAAATGATCTTAAATTTCATTTTTATCTGAAACATAGTCAAAGGCCGCAAACAAATTGGGGTATCCCGATTTCAGACACATCCATTTATCTACTGACCATTGGGCGGAACCTCCCGAGGTTGTCCTTTGTAAACAGTCAACACGTGCTTGGCCTCTGCCGTGTATAAACTTATACAGTAGTATAATGTAGTATACATGTATACCATATACACTCGTTGCTAGTCTGTTAAACCATACATCCATAAAATTTTGTGCATGCCCACATCATCCCACATCCTCACATCATCTATCCGGGTAAATTACCAGATTTCACTAACCCTAAAAACTTCAGCCCCCTTATGGAGGGATTCCCCACCATTTCCACCCTCCGAGGGACGACGAGTTTGATCCATCACCGAGTCTAAGGATCGCGGGCAGGCGGAACCCAGGGATTGAACTCCCAGGTGCCACAACTCCGGCAGTCCAGGCAGAAAGTGGGAACCTGCTGCTGCCAGTTTTTTCTTTTTTTTGCGACGCAAAGGTAGATCAAATATCGATGTAGCTATATGGATTAATGATATAAGTATCATATCCTAATATGATCTTACCAGGTTGTCTGTAAGCCAGCGATTTTTGGGTGGAATTGCAAACCATGTTGAAGAAAGACTCATTCAGAAATTGTCATGTCTGGTACATCATGGTACATCACAAGAAATGAAAAGGCACAACCCCCTGCAAAGGTGTGGTTGATCTATGTGTATCTACAACCAAATGCCATCGCAAAGCAAACTTCACTTCGAAGTTCTAAGTGGGATATAGTGGGATGAATCACCACCCTAAAACTGCGGTAAACAAATCCACTTCACGCGTAGTTTACCTCAAACTACATCCGCAAACATTTCATAAAGTATTGATATAAGCATGAATACACGTTAACAATGAACATGAATGAACATCAACATTGATGAGCATTAAAAAACAACAAAACAAACACCCCTAAGGGATACCATGAGCGTCATCCTTTCCGGTCCTCCGGTCCTGCATAGCGGCGAAGACGTGAGCAAAGGGGTTCGAAGGGATCGCCGTGCAAAGCGCTCAAAGACCAAAGGTAAAACCGCTCAAAGACCTGAGTCATTTTTATGGGTTATGGATGTTAGAAGAACATATACTGTACCGGTTCTGGATGGTATAACTGGTATTACTGATTGTATGGACCATTTCTACTGACTATGGATGGTATTTTTTGTTGCCAGGAGTTTGAGGAGTCATTCGAAGACAGAACATTTACATAGACACTCCTACAGAGATATAATATTAAAATACATAATCAATGATTTGGCCAACCAAATAATTAATAAACCATCCATGATTACGCCAGAAATGGTTGACAAGCATCATCCCCAAATTATAACACTTTTATATCATTGGATTTAAATGGAGTTGCCACATTATGCTTCTTGGATTTGCGTTTTGGAGACCAAACATTAATAATATTCCCAGCCGATTCCCCAGCCATGGTGGTTTACCAATGAGAACATAACAAATCATGTTCAACAAATCCAAACCATACAGCTTGGCAGGTGATGCCCCAGTTGGTTAGTTAAATTGGTTGAAAACAACTAGCATCAGTCGGGTTCAGAATAAATATATCATACATAAACACACACACACACACTTGTTTATATATGTATACATACACATATACATATACATATACATATACATATACACAAATGCATACACAGTTGAATAGTTTGGCAGCTTCAACCCCCCTGAACAAATATGTTGGCCAATGGGGGTCACCATGTCATTTCTACATATTTCTCGCTCTTTTTGCGACTGAACCAATGGAAGTGTGAACTTCATTAATCCACATGGGGATTCTACCAGAATCAAAGTCAGATTGTCCAATAGAAAAGGGAACTCAACCAGCAGGAAATTTTCACAGCTTTGAGGGAATTGACATCTGGATTGAAGCCAAGCGAATGAGAATTCAACCAACAAATACTGCATTGATTCGCCCCAGTTGGTGGCAAGTAACCACCAACCATAGTTGTGCCCAAGCGGCAAGGTGTTCCAGGGCCAATCACAGATGGGAACGGGGTGCCGTCTTTTCCAGAACGGTTCTTTTGGTTTAGCATTGGCCGAATACCCAGTGAAGTTAGCTATATAATTTGGGATATACTACATACAAGCTACCCTCTGGTAAACGTTTACATAACTATGGAAAGATCCACCATTTCTAATGGGAAAACTCACTATTTCTATGGCCATTTTCAATAGCTATTTTGACATAACCAGAGGGTAAACTAACATATCATCAATATCATCAATTATCCATTTACCAATTTTACCATCCATCAATCAACCATTAACCAACAAGCTATATCTAAGCACCCAAACTTCAAGAACCACCAGCCCAGGCAACCCAGGAGCTGAAACGCCCGCTTTGTTCCTCACGTGCAGCGATGCATGTTCCTGGCGAAAATGCTGGCAACATGTGGCAACCAAACCAGGTAAATATCGAAGGTACATCATGAATTACCCTCTGGTTATGTCAAAATAGCTATGGAAAATGGCCATTTATAGTGGATTTTCCCATGAAAAATGGTGGATCTTTCCATAGTTATGTTAAATTACCAGACGGTATTCCAAAAATAAACGCAAGAATCGGCAAGAAAAGTGTATTACATGTTCATTTAGACCATAACATAGACCATAACATACCATTACTGTCCATTACTAGTAAAAGCTTGTCATTGCTCATCATTCGACCTTGCCATCGACCACACTTGACAAACAAATAAACTTTACAGTAAGTCTTGCGCTCAACTTGGCGAGTGCGGAAATTAAAAGCCCATGGCATTTTTTGGTTCACCCAATAATATCGACGAAACGTGCGACCGGACACAGCTCCGCCCGTGTCATGTCCTCCATGAAAACCTCAATGAGCTCGGAAGTTTTGCTGTCCTGACGAGGATGCAAATTCCGCATTGGACTACGATGACATCAGGTTCTTTTCCGGCTGAACCGTGTCCTCACTGAAGGGTTATAAATGTTATAAGCAATGTGGTAAACCCAATTCCAATGCCATAAATCATTTTCAAGTCATCACCATAATGGTAGGTTTGTAAAGGCCATCCCCAAATGGTAGGTTTATGGCATTGGGTTTACCACATTACAAAACATTGCAAATCCATGAGCACTGAAAGGATAAAGGCAGACCTGAAGGCATGTGTTTGATTTAAGCAAGTTCCAGCTGTTGAAATCTCTGCAAATCAGCCCCATGGCAACTTCACTGCCGTTTGCAATCCGTTTTTGGCACTACGTATTGAAATTGCAATAAACAAATTGGCCACAACAATGGTGATGCGGCAACTTTGCTGGACCTTTGAAATAGCCACGAACCCTGAAACAGTATGAAACAGTCACTTTCTGAACGGCTCCAGTTCAAAATAGTCAAAGTATGGTCGTTCGCCCAACCCCGAAAAACCACGAATCTCCATGTTTTTCCCAGTTTCCCCAGCTATCCTCAGCTTTTTCCCAGTTTTTTTCCCAGGGCCCCCCACCACTGTCAACGGCAGGCAATGCGCCGGCGTTCGTCCGCGGTGATCCTTTGCCGTGCTTGAGGCGCCTTGCTCCAGCAAAAGCTTGAGAACCTGACGGGGATGCGAACCTGGACGAAAATGGAAGGCCATGGAGTTAGTTAATGTTAGTAAACATTAACTAACATTAATAAACACTATATATTAGTTAATGGTTAGCTAACATTACATAAATGGAATAGGAGTAGGTGTAGATAAATTGTTAACCAACATTATATTTCCTATTAGTAAATGGTTTAGAATTGGGAGATATGATGCTTTATAACCCATTGAACAGTTCCTAAACAGTTCGCTAATCCTAAAGCAACGTGTTTAATCATCCAAAATGCAGAATTAGCATTAGCCAGCCAAAAAAATGATTTTCACCATCGAACATATGGATTTAATGTGATTTATCCACTGGATGATTTGCATATGCCCTGTTTTTTCATATGCGTTTGACAAAATAGACAGTACCCTCTGGTAATTTAACGTAGCCATGGAAAATCACCATTTCCAATGGGAAAATCCACTATAAATGGCCATTTTCAATAGCTATGTTAAATGACCAAAGGGTAGACAGTAGCGCAATTTCAATGCGAACGTATCATGCTCATCCGTGGAAATTTTGGGATCGGGCCATTGCCGACTTGGGAATTGCTCAATGACTGGGAAACCCTGGTGTTGTCATAACCCATAGGACCCATGTATGGTATATATGCTAACATTTGGGGTATATTGATGGTAAATGTTACCATATATGGCATACATGGATCCTATGGGTAATGGACAAATTACATTGTGATGTTCATGTCGCGATACCCTCTGGTAAACATACAAAAAGCTATTGAAAATGGCCATTGAAATAGTGGATTTTCCCATTAGTAGCATGGTGATTTTCCATAGCTATGTTAAATTACCAGAGGGTAATTTACATATCATAATTTGGAGTATTTGGTACTGACCACAAAACATCCAACCGATGTAGATGCTGTATCCAATCATCGTATTGCGCCCCTATCCTTCTCTGTTTACACACACATATATATTTACAATGTGGTACCCCCCAGTTATAAGTTGGTTTATAAGCCCATCAACTATAGATATATCTACTATAGATATAAACCAACTTAGCTATCTATGGGGCACCACTATGTATATATATATATATAGCTCCACGGCTCCCATGTAAAGGCCTCCATGGACCGTGCTTCAGCCGCAATGTGCAAAGCTGTGGTCCTTGAAAAAGCACTCGGAGGGACCGGCATGGAGCTACTTAATATGGCTGGTTGGTGGTGCAATGTGCCCATGGTTAATAGTGATGAATAGTGGTGCAATAACCATGGTTATTAGTGATTAATACCTGATCCAATGAATCATATGGCTGGTTGGTGGTGCAATGTGCCCATCTTGAAAAATGATGGAGTGAAAGTCAATGGGAAGGATGACATCCCATATATGAAATGGAAAATAAAACATGTTCCAAACCACCAACCAGCTGTGTTCAATCCCACTGGCACAGAAAGCCTGAGTTTGGCGCTAAAAATGTGAAATATTGGCGAATGAATGGAGCATCTGGGGACTACCACACTTTTTCGAGATGGCACAGTGATGCAGTGCGGCCCTTTGTGGCCCAGGGGCCCTCCACAGCCAAGAAACCCTTTGCCATCGGCCAACTTGGGGTCTGCTTGATCTTGCAACAGCAGCCGGCAGTCCTGGGACCCAAAAGGCTGACCATATGCCCAACTAAAAGTGTGTATCCAACACTATCTTCAAATATCATTTCGAACCCTCAACATCTTCCAACATCTTCCAACATCTTCAAACATCTTCCAAGATCTTCCAACCACATGCCACTCAAAATAACGGCTCAACCCGCAGCCGTCCCTTCACCACCCCGCCCCCGGCGGCGCCATGCGGCGCCCCGGGGCCCGGGCCTCCAAGTTATCCTCCCTCACAGCGCGCCAGAGTGGCAGCGAAACTCCAATGGCCAACTCCTGGTGGATGCATCTCATTGTGCCGGTACCATGTGGCTAAGACGATCTAAAAACTATTTGGTGGCTAAAAACCACCTGACTATATGGGGATGGGTCAAAACCCTGGTACCTGGTGAACATCAAAATAGCTGGTAAATGGATGTTCATCCCACTTAAAATGGTATTAATAGTATAGGTATTGATCCATACCCATATAGGACATACCATGATATACGCCAGATTTCTGGTGGCTTATTGTGGGCTACCACAAAAGCTGGCTCAGAAGTAGATTAGGGGTTATGGATGGTTATGGTGCATGTCTAATGGATGGGACCACATTGCGTGGACAAACAATGAGAATCAGCACAGCCAAGTTTAGATAGCTCATGGTTGAGTTTGATGGGCAAAAACATAGTGATGTCAACATGTGCAACAAATGAAGCATGCGGCATCCCTAACAACCAAACTGCTGAGATTTACCGACAGAACCACTGGAATCACTGGATGCCGGGACACGTTCAATGCACTGGCACCGGAAAGGGCCAAGTCTTCTGAGCGACATGGTCATCAAACCAATTAAAATGGATTGGTCCTGATTTGTAGATGAGGATTCTTGGAAGTTGGTGGTTTCCCATCGCCCAGTTATATAGATAATTGGCACCACTTCAGTGGATGTCCTCAACAAAGATCTGCATCAAATGGCTCACCATGTCATAGTCCTGGCTGACCGAAACTGTCAGTTTCGCGCCAAAAAAAAGCGCGCCATGGTCCATGGTTTTCCATGGATTTGTCAGGGAAAGTCTACAGGAAACATCACGGTGTTCACCAACTCCAGGCCATGAAGAATGCCAAAACTCTGGAAACAAAGTCTCCGCAAAAATGAACATCAAAAATTGATAATACTCAGTGACAAATTGATTGAGGTGGAGAGGATTCAACAGGAATACGCAATCTACTCTTGGCATTGGTCTGTCCCTCGACGTCGGTCGGAATCGCTGGTGTCAAGGAATGGGTGTGTCTGAAAATAGAGCACCCCATTCCACATCATTCCACTGGTCAATCGTCATTTTCCCATTTCCATAATTTTGGTCAACCCCTCACTTGCGCACATGACCACCTACTACTACTACTACTACTACTGCTACTGCTACTGCTACTGCTACTGCTACTGCTACTGCTGCTGCTGCTGCTACTACTACTACTACTGTTTCTATCTGTCTATGTTTCTGTGTCTATGTGTGTTTGTATGTTTGTATGTGTTGTATGTTTGTATGTTTGCATAATTTATATGTATATGACTGTATATGTATATGTCTATGTATATGTATATGTCTATGTATATGTCTATGTATATGTCTATGTATATGTCTATGTATATGTCGATGTATATGTCTATGTATATGTCTATAAATATATATATATATCTATGCATTTGAATATGTATATGTAAATGTATATGTATGTAAGTCATGGCGAGAAACTCACGTGCACAAGCGGGGTGAAGGTCATGTGTACAAGCGAGTGGTCGCCCATCATTTCTAGCCTATCTTCAGACACACCTCCCATCCTCCCAGCCACTGGGCTATTCGCTGTTGATAAACGTAAGTCACCAGAAAAATGGCAGTCGAATATTGAATATTAAATATATATATATATATATTGCAACATTTTTCAAGGTATTTGGATGGTCTAGGTACATATTATGTATCATAGTAACCCGATTGGTAACCCCGAAAAAAGAGTAGTGCTTACAACCCTGCTTTCCTGCAGATGTTCCCTTTAATAATCAAGCCGCTTATTTTCGTGAATCTGGAGCATACACTTGGATTTGCTTATAAGGACACCCCCCCAGAAAAATGCACATATTTAGATTCCCGAAGTAGTGGGTGTTCCATGAAACCACGAAACATCTAAGCCACAAATCCAGGTCCTTCCTGGAAATCACATCCAAACTTCGTTATATTCTCATAAAGTCACCATTGTTGAGGGTTAACCTCCGTTAATAGATCAATATAGATTAAATAATAATGCCAATATATGCCAATGAAATCACCATCAAACAATCAAACCACCATTTTTTTTTGGTTAAACCCCATTAATAGTGATAAAATGTGATAAAGCCAATTAAAAAGAAAACAATCCCCAGCACCGAAAGAAACACTCGACTTTCGCCGAGCATCGGTTAGAGGTGTTGGAGCTTGAGCTGAGTGGTGCAATCCCAGGTGATGCATGCGCCCTATATCCTCGTGCCGGCGACCGGCAAAGGGATAGCTATATGGCTCTCGGCATCTCTGGGTCAAGGAACCCCAAAAAAAAAACAACGGTTCCCCGGCTCCAGTTCGAAAATAAAGAGTATTCGGGATTTCTTCAGCGTGTTGGGATTGTTTCCGAATAAGGGTCAAAAGATCCAAAATTGGATGCAATCAACTTTAAAAAAAACAACGCCTTTAGCCAGTCATTGTGTATCCGTCAGCGTTTCATAAATCAAAGATGCACCCGCATCGAAATCACAGCATGATCAACGGCAAGCTGCTGAAGAGACTGGGAGGAAGGTCTTCTTCTCCAGTTCTTGGGTAAAGTTTTGCAGTTCCGAAGCCAGAGCGTCCAATCCTGCGATGTGGTCTGCGATGTGGCTATGTTAAACTGAATATGCCCTGCACTAGTATGCATGCCACGCATGGTGTTTCACGCACGCATGTGTATATGAACATATAGTCATATATATATATATATAATATAATATATATAATATATATACAAGTTATATATTGTTATATTGGATGGTGTATAGTGAAATGTGCATGCATGTATCTGTATATATATATATGCATATGTCCATACATGGTCGCCGTGGTGACCATGTAGTCCATATCGCACATTTTTTTCGATCTCTTGAGTTCCATGTGTCTGAACATGGTTTTTTTGCCCCCCAAAATAGCTATCTCAATGAAAGTATGATGATAACAGAGTGGATTTCGGAGCCCCTCTTTTCACAGATATCCATGTATATCCCATAGGATCCATGGTGCTGCCATATATGGTAACATTTACCATCAATATACCCCAAATGTTAGCATATATACCATACATGGATCCTATGGGTATATATATTATATATATATTATATATATTATATATATATTATATATATATATGACACATTATAACACATTATAACACTATATTGCTTGCACCATCCAGCTCCCAACATCCGGAGCACCCCTCGGCGCTATCTCCAGGACTTCAGGGCGATTTAAAACATTTGCCTTGAAACGCGATCCAGAACCAACTGGTGCTAGCCATTTCTCTGGTCAGTTGGATTACCCTCTGGTAATTTAACATAGCTATGGAAAATCACCATTTTGAATGGGAAAACTCACTGTTTCTATGGCCATTTTCAATAGCAAACTGTTAGTTTACCAGAGGGTATGTTTTTAAGGATCTTGATGGATCCAACAGGTCCTGATCCAACAAATCTAGACCCACCAGTGCCATGCCCCCGCCCCGAAAAGGGCAGCTCCCTGGACCCGCTCCTTCTTGCGTGGCACGGCGCAGACGCGAACCGCCACGCAGGATGCCCACCTTGACCTGACATAGCTGTGGAAAGTCACCAGATTTTTGCAGGTCAATTCTAGGATTAACTTAAGACTACAGGTAAAAAAATGGTAGTTATATATGATGTTATATATGTTATATATGGTAAATATATACCTATTGGTTTACTATGGTCATTTAAAGTAGCGTTAAATGACCAGAGGGGGGAAAGCTTAGAAGAAAGCTACAGGAAAGTGAATGGAAAATCCCCCAACCATAGTTCGATATATTTCCCAGCGAACGAAACCTCTATATATTTATTTGGGACTTTCCAGCTAGCCACGTTCGATAACCAGAGGGTAATTATCGGGGATTCCTGAATTCTGAGAGGCAACACCACAGGGACAGATACATGCGACACTTTCAACACCAGCATCTTAATTACAACTAGCAGCACCGACATCAAGCCGAAACTCTAACCAGGTGATTTCTCAAGCAAAATGATCATGTGAGAGGGGTCGTCTTCTGAAGTTAGGATGTAGTTTCAGCCAATTCATCGTTTTCACGATCGATCAAATATGACAGTGCCCCTGAAATCTGTGAGAGGGAACTCAAAATCCCATGGTGAAACATCATCCCAAATTCATCATTGCAATTCTGTCAAAATCCTTCATATTTTGCAGAATCGCGGCTATGTTAAATTGCCAAAGGGTACCATATTGTTAGTGATGACAACCAACCATCCTGACAAAATCCTCCCGATGATAGTCACCAGAGGGTACCACCATTTTTCAGAATAGCGCGATTTTTCGAAGAAATCCTCCCATTCTTCGTCTCATTCTTTTCTCACATTTCCATGATCCGTCCAACCATCCGTTGGTGAAATCCCAGCAATTTATGGTTGAAATCTTGCTTTGATGGCGATTCATATCCCCATCACATCATTGATAGTAAAATCTGCTTTTGGGTGTGTTGAACCCATTGAAGGTATAAATTATCAACACCCTTAATTCATATTAAACATAATTTTGAATTACATGAGCCAACAATATGATTCAAGCTAAAACACAATTAAATCACTCATATTCAACCAAATTAAACATAATAATTTGTATAAATATATTTATATAAATCCAAAAAAATACAAATAAATCACAAATTTAAATCATATTAAATCATCTTAAACTATATTAATCAAATTGCTTAGATTGAATCATATTTATTGAATCCACTATTCATGCGTCAAATTCCCCTTCTTTGATGATTAAATCAACTTTCCGATCCATGTCTCCACCTGCGGGTCGTTGGCAAAAATCACCTCCTGTGCTGAGGCTTCCTGGCCGCACATTTTTTTTGGAATTCTCAAGGCGACAAACATACCCTCCGGTTATTTAACATGGAACATTTCCTTTTACGGATGATTTAGCTATTGAAATATAATAAAAGGATGATTTTCCAATATTTTCCATAGCTATGCCAAGTTATCAGATGGTACAAATCGGGTGGTTTCTGATTTTGATGAGATATTCATGGTTTGTCTACGGGAATTCATGGGGAATGAACGGATGAACGGGATTATCTACAATGAAGGGGATTATCTAAACCAACTCATAACTCAAAAGTGGCCACATTGTTGAAAACAACAGGAAATTAACCCTTGTATTAACCGTTATTAACCCTTGGAAATGGGGAAAACATTTGTTTACCTGCTAGAACTGGTGGTTTCCTGTAGGGTATCCTTTTATCAAGTCTTTGTCCAATTGTGGGAAGCAACAAAAAAGAGTTCACCAGAAAAATGGAGTTTAACCAACAAAACTTGCAACTTAATTTACTGCAAGTATATAACCAAAATCCAACCCACCAACAACAACGGATTTCAGCTGCAATACAGAAGATTTGCCACAAAAGATTTGCAAAATTCAAGCAGAAAAAATGAGGACGTCACCAGCGAACCTAAGGAGTTGGCTATGGTATGCTTCGATCTTGCTCGGATGATCCCGACACATAGATGACACTTTCCTGAAACGGGGGTACCCGGGGTACCCCTCTCTCTCATCCATTTTAATAGGATTTTCCACAACCATCCATAGTGGGGTACCCCTATTTGAGGAAACCTCTAGATTTCTCTTTCAAAGTATTTGATTGGAACCTGCTGAGCTAACAAAAGTTCAATGGGAATTTCAGGATCCTAACATGGAGGTACTGTACCATATAAGACCATATTTTGAGGGGATATTCCCTGAAATTTAGGCCTTATATAGGCCTTATATATGATAGGTACCTCCAATTTAGGTTCCTGAAATGGCCACTGAGAAGTGGGGATAATATCAAATGTTCGGAACGCGGCCAAAGTATGAAAATACCACCACTGAAAATGACATGAAAATAACAATGGCACATGCATGTATTGTATGATTCCACATGATGACAATTGGCTGTTTGAAAATAGGGCACTCCAAAGCGCACTGTTTATCATCACAACTTCAAAATCACAATATGTTGGCGCATTTTACTCCACAAAACAGGAACATCCTCACATGTGCAATGGCCAATCAGGGTATACGAGGTATGATCATCCATCCCACCATTGATCAACAATTTATATTGGCTATAGTTCCCCCAAATGTGACAATCCCGAATGTTGGGCGCTAAACTTGCAACATGTTTAGTTTGTCAATTCCCCATTGTTTATTCCCGTTTGATCTTCACCTCAACCACAACGAGTTGATGGCAGTAAACAACCATAAACAACCCCAGCCCCAGAGACGCCTCCATCATGGCCACTTTCACCATGCTAATGAAGTGGCTGAAATAGATGTGGCCCTGCTGATCCGTCGGCACTCGGATCCTGGCCGTGAAGTCATCTGAATCATTGGGTGGTTTTCCAGCACGCCATGTTCGATTGCCAAAGGGCATATACGTCGATATAGATACCTGTCATGGTGGTTGGATGTCTATGGTTCAAACGGTTCAAACATATCCCCAAAAGAGCTGTTGATGCAGATTTACCCGGCGATTCTTAGATACCCGAAATCTTTCTTCCAGCCGCTTAGTCAATACATATAAATTCATCAATCAATTATATAATAAAATATATTATATATTATATATAATAAAATATATTTTATATATTATATATATATCTTACATATATAATATATATATAACATATATAATACGTTATATAATACAAAATAATATATATATATATATATGTGTGTGTGTGTATGTGTGTGTAAATACTTTTGCTGATGGAACAATAAAATATCCAACTATCCATCATTACCCAGCCAAGGTTTTAGCCAGTGCCCGGTGGCAGCTGCTTTTGTTGCTGAGGTCATATGGGGAGGTTTGTAGCAGCTGGAGGATTGGTACAGGGTGGTGCTGCCCAGTGAACACATGTTTGCTGTTTGTTGGTTTATATATAACCCGCAGAACGTCCATGAATTATATCTACCGGAAAAAGAACCACCAAACTATCTAGGGGGCACCACCTTGTACGTCTCGGTGTATTCGACCTGAAGTGGAAAACGGACACACACAAAATCGTTTTCTACAGGTCGTGTTGGCCACTGAGTGGTTGCAACATGTTGCAACAAAACATGGCTAATCTTAACGGCTAATCGATACCCATTAAACAATTCATGCAAACACGATTCATGTGACATCATTTGATACTGGCAAAGCCATAAACCACCTATATGTTGAAGCTCAACATAGCACCCATTAATTATGTCGTAAAAGTTACCATTGCTTCCTCAGAACAATGGCTGTGTAAAAAGCTGCTTAACCATCACCCACCAGTGGGTCGACCTGTAGCCAAAAGGAGCTCGTGTCATTAAGGCCTTAGTGATTCGATGCATGGAATTCGATGCTTCGATGGGGAACAGAACATCGAATTCTAGGGATTTTTGTTGTGATTTTTTGTGATAAAGATCAGCTACAAGAGCTAAATGGATCGAATTATGGATCTAACTAGAATCATGCCAAAACCATGTCCAACACATCACTACCCTTCATTCTTTTAAAGTAGTGCCAGCTGCATGATCTGCCGCAATTGGAACACAAGGCCAAAATTCATGCCAAACTCTGGGACTGCAGCTCATTCAATTTGAGCCATAGGACCCGTTTTCTTTTTGTTTTTTTTTTTTGATTTTTTTGATTTTGTGGGTCCAAAGCTGGATCTAAACTGCTAAACACAGAATCTGGATGAATCTTGGAAGCTCAGATGGCTCAGTTGAAGTCTACTTTCCCAAGATCCAGCGTTTCCAGGTCCAGAATGTCCAGGTCAGGCCGCTGTAGGATGCCAAAAGTACGAAGCAAGGCTGGGGAAGACCTCAACGGGGACGCCCCGTTTAACGCCGGAAGCGGAATGTCTACCCTCCGTGGGAATTCAACATAGTTCAACATAGCAATGGTATAGATGGCCCGTTTATAGATGATGTAGCTATTAAACATGGCGACTTTTCCATAGTTACGCTATATGTGAACTTACCAGAGGCTATACCCATCACTTATAATAAGCAAGGCTCTAAACTCTAAACTTCCTTGTGGGGTATGATCACAGGTCCACCAAATATTGACTGCTCCCCTTGCAAGCTGGAGCGCCAAAAAAACACATAGTATTAAATTATTAGTTATGTATATAGGTAAATCAAAAATGGAGAACGCCAATCATTGCAGGATTGATCAATAAAGTCATGCTTCTTACTGGCTCCCCTCAAAAAAACACACGCATGAACCTCTTATTGACTCTATCCAGTCTTCTGCTAGCCTTGCCAGCCAACATGTCAAACTTAAACGTGTGATAATGCTATGATTTGCCCTGCACTTCCGCAACATGTGAATCTGCCTGCAATGCTACGCCACAGTAGCGGCAATTATGTCTCGCAGTACAGTTTTCAAGTGGAAAAAACATATCACATGAATCTTGGGAAGCCTTCTCTTTCTTTGGAATCCGATCATCTTTGAAACCAGTTCTTGCGTCGTCACGTCCAGTCACTGTCTGGCAAACGCTTGAGCACGCACCAGGTTTCCCTGTCCGCACTTCCTGCGAGTCAAACCATGATGGCTGCCATCAAATATTACTAAATATTGAGGTTTCCTGTAAATGTTCCCTTAAGCCAATCCTATACCATCTGGTTATTTAACATAGCCATGGAAAATCACAATTTTTAATAGGTAAACCATCTATAAATGGGCAATTTTCCATGGCTATCTTAAATAACCAGATGGTAAGCCTATCCTCATTGGATGTTTGTGGCATCTGGTAATATGATTCCATGGAAATCCAAGCTGGAAAAAATTCATCGGGGCCGCAAAGGTCGCAAAGAATGTTCTGAAGTCAAACGTGTACCCCTTGTGTAAACTAACACTTCGATGCGGAAAACCCATGAAAACCCATTATTGATCATTTTCCTAGGGAAACCCATAGGCTTTCCACATGAGCTGCTAGTTTACATAGGGGAAGCAAAATCATTTGGATCAACCATTCCGACATATTCCAACAGTTGAACGATGGAAAACCGCTTGAACCACGTCCCTATGGACATCGACAAGCATGTGTAAGAGCAACAGCCCACCAATACCATCATAGAAATCTAAATCAAATCTATATCAATGACTTGGCTGGGCCATGAGGGTTAGTCAAACCAGTTATATAACTGCTTATCTTGAACCCCCCTCTAAGACTCTAGACCTGAATGATGGTGTTATGAAAGCCACCTAATTACTAATATCAAATACTAACCAACTATTACTGACTTCAGTTGACTGAGGGGCAACCAACCATAACATCAAATCACCTGATCTTCAGTTGATTTCAGGAAACCAAGTATTATGAACCACATATTAATAGGGGTAACCATTGACTATTAGCATTACCCTCTGGTTATTTAACAGTTTGCCATGGTAAATAGAACCCATTTATAGATGGTTTACCTGGGTTTACCTATTTAAAATGGTGATTTTCCATGGCTATGTTAAATAACCAGAGGGGTAGTTCACCTGAAATTACCATTAAATCATCATTAAACAACCACTAAACCACCATTTCATGGTATTTTCCTATGGTTTTCCTATGGTTTTCCTATGATTAATGGTAGTTCAGCACCTATAAAGCGCCCTTAAAGGGCCCCCAGGGATCCCCCGATGGTAGGCCCAGATCCCCACGCCTCAGGCAAGTCTTCCATGCTGGTGATCACGTGGCCATTGATGGCCACCACCTGGTCAAACCTGGACAAACGACATGGACGTACGGTACATGGACATGAAAGGCTTGAGGTTGTACTCAATATAATTACATATATATATATATACAAATGCATACATACATATGTATATATATATATAATAAAAAAAACTTACCACTTACATTTGATGTCCATAAAACAACTCAATACATAAATAAATATACGCAAACATGCAGTACATCAATATAGATCAATATGCAACTTAAACCAACGCAACTCTCAACTTCACATTCACCACCGTTTTGAAGGTTGGTTTTGCGTCTTTCATCAGCCAGCCCAATTCATCCGGGTTGAGCCAAGTTACATGTGCAAAGGGCTGTTCTCGCGATATAGTTCCTGGCGCCCACGAGGGTCCAGTTTTCCACTTTAATCTGGCAATCATATGGCAAACCCAATTGCAAACCTACCGTTTGATAAGTATTTCTACAACCCATTCAGGGTAATGTTGGGGATGCATCCGTGGTTCATCGCAAGAACCTGGGGCCCTGGGGGGCGTCTGCTGGTTGAATTGCATACAGCATATACATCAACTCTCAGTTTGTTGTTGGTTACTGTACCTCCCTAAGTTTGCCTGTTTCAATCCAACATGGCTGATCATATAGCCATCATCTTTGATATATATTTTACGGCAAAATCACCATGTTGGCCTAATTAAAATGCACCTTTGTTGCTGAATCAAGACGCCGGGTGTGTCCTGGACCTGCACGATATCGCCGATCTGCCGCAAAACCTGGAGCGCGGCTTGGCTGCAAGGTTCAATGATAGTTGGTTTATATACCATGGTTGATGTATCATGTGTTTATATACCATGGATCCATGGTTTATATACCATGGTTAGTTTTTAAATTTTGGTTATTAATGGTTGATATACATGGTTGGTTTATACCCTGTGGTTGCTTGATGGTTCCCAATTCAATGACAGTTTGGTTTATATACCACGTCACGTTTTTTTTTTTTTAATCTGTATAATACATACAATGTGGGGCCAGAGAAGGATAGCTAAGTTGCTGAACATAACTCCAATGACTATGGCTTAGGCTTATAGTACTTATAACATCTAGATCTGATAATTTTAGTTCATGGGGATTTTAAAACAACTTATAACTGGGGGGCCGACATCGATATGAATGGGTTTACATAATGTAATCCGTATAATTCAATGAACTATGAACTAAAACATGTCATTCTAATTTATTTGGACATCATGGGGAAATCATGGGGATATTATATGTAAGTATTTGCATATAATAATATCATTAATAAATACATATTATATAATATATATATATATGTACACACCAGGAAAAAAAAACAAACGATCTCTATTTTGGATGCTTGATCCGCGATTTAGTGGCTCAAAACCTCCAAAACGAGGGTCTTTGGGCTCAGCATATGTATATATATATACACATAGTGCATTTCAAAACACATGGAGTTATAATGTGTTATAATGCATGTAACTATATGCTATAACTGTATGTATAACTCTATATGTGGTATGTGTGTTTATGTGGGTAGGTCAATCAATTACAAATGGCAATATCGGTCAATAACAACATGATACACTTCAACAACGACTATTTTATATATATATGCTGGACGTGTGTAGATCAAACAACTACAAATATGGAAAATATTTGAAATGTACTGCAGGTAAAAAGATATATGGAAGACAAACATGAGGACACTCATGGAATCTTCCATATGTTGATAAACTGCACGTAAGCAACTTCTTACTTTGATACTCTATGATTAATAAATCTACAGAGAGACAACAAAAATAAATACAGTACATAAAACTATACAGACTCTTGGGTCAATCGAGTGAATTTCTTGTGGCATTAGGTAGTTGCTTTCTATCCTCGGCAACTTTTCACCACATCCCATCACCCAATAACCAGGCGCGGATCACACATGAGTTCTTCAAAGTTTCGATGGAAACGCTGTAATCGTCCTGTTTCCAATCGCGAGAGCCACGGAAAATAGTCATTTTAGATGGTCTGCTGATCCATGAAAATTGTGATTTTCAATAGTTATGTTGAATCACCAATGAGGGTAAATGGGTTGGGTCATGTTCCGAATAGGTGTTAGCAAATGTGCCGTCCATGTACCAAATAGGATTGGCAAAGCTGGCCCACAGTCGACGAAGAAACTGAGAGAACACAACACAATCAAAAAGGTCATACTGTTAGGGATCCTACCGCACATTGGTCCTATCAACCAGCCAAAGTTTAAACACAACGTTCCAGACAGAGGTTCCCGAGATCCTACCTTACTGTGGTCCTATTAACTCTACTGAAGTTCAAACACAACTGTACAGTAAGACTCACACCCAAAATCCACTCCAGTCCCCACAACAGGCAAAACCAAACTTTAATTGCCATGCATCAGCTCACTCTTCCATTAAACCTGCAGAACCGCAATCGAGTCCGCACTAACTTTTCTTCCTACGGTGTGGTGGAAAAACACACTGCACCCAAGAAATTCTCAAAATCCATGCAGCATGAAACAACAACCGCCTACCACCGTCAAACGTCTTCTATCAGCCACGCCGCTGACAACTTAAATCCAGGGCGGGCGGGTGGGTGCTCAAGAAACACTGAACACCACCAACGCCGCGGCCCTCCGCGCAACCAATCCGTTACGCTAGACGCGCAACCAAACCGTTACGCCCAAACCGCTAGTGGCCAGCTAGCAATCTTGTCATGAATCCTCATGACAGGTCCAAACATTCATGTAATCTCACATGACAAGCAAGAGACTCACATCTCTAAATCGAAACTCATGTGTCCACATGACAGGCGATAAACTTCATGCAAACCCACATGGACAGCCAGAGATCCTATCTCTAATGTAGTCCCATGTGTCCACACGCGAAGCACATCATGGAAACTCATGACTCACCCAGAGATCAAGTCACAACCAATCAAGTGGACCAAGTTCACATAAAAGTAAGGCATCCAGAAACATGATGAACATTCGAACCCGGGTCGTCCAGTTATGTTGCCCAAAGTAAAGTTAGCACCACAACGAAGACAACTACACCTACTGCAACATTCAACGATAAGGGTGCTATCGAATCCCACTACTCGCCCCTGCGTGTCGACCCGCCAGAGTCATCCATCAAACTTGGAACACGGCCTTTATCTGGCCGTGGTGTTTTTGTGATCAACGGGGTGTCATGGATGATGTTTGATGTGGTCGTGCCAATAGGATTTTGGCTGATGTGATTTCAAAGGCGAAAAACCCGTGATTCTGGTGCATAAAATCAAAATCTAGCGTTTCGCCTAGGCGAAACTATCATTTCTGATGTTTCTCAGAACTCCCCAACTAATTCGAGCTGTATTGTTTTGATGTGAGTTCAAAGACAAGAAACCCCCTTATTCTGGTGCAGGAAATGAAAAAACAAGTATTTCGCCTAGGCGAAAACGCATTTTTTTTGTAATTCCACATGTTATGTATTGATGAAGTTGGCACAGCCTGCCAGACGACCTTGCAACCGACCTGGATTTCAACATGTTATGTATTGATGAATGTGGCACAACCTGCCAGACGACCTTGCAACGGACCTTCACTTGCATCGAACAGATAACTATAACCAAAGACAGGCATTCATACAAGTAAATGATGTTGAAACCAAAGAAACTAATCGCACTTCCAGCGGACATTTTCTGATTGAATTTAACATGAACGTTAACACATGCCCCACTCCACCCCACCCATGTCTACACGCACATAACGGCACACACAGAGACGAGTCCACTTACCTAGCAAGTTCACATGAACGTTAACACATGCCCCACCCCACCCCACCCCACCCCCCAATGTGCACGAAAACGCACGGCCAGATAAAGGCCGTGCTCCAACTATATCAAACTGATTCTGTCAACCCATTCCAAAAAATCAGAAAGTCATCATGGTGTCATCATCCAATTTCCATCCTTTTCTCTGGTTTTTCACCTGAAAAACCCCAGCGTTTCGGCCCGGCCACGGCATCGCACCCGTCCTCCGGGGCCAGCGGGGGCTCCGCTTCGTGGCAAACGGCCTCCGCGTTGCAGATGTGAATCACGGCATCCGCGTCGAAGGCCAAATGCGGCATGTACTCCATGACCTGTGCGGAACCAGCACCGAAAACCGGGGGTGCGAATGTCTTTAGAAGACACACACACACGCACACACACACATATATATATATGTATATATATATATATATATATGTATATATATATATATATGGTATCATATTATGATATTATATGGTATAATATGATATCTAGGTATACCCTCTGGTTATGACATTGCCAGGGCTAGCCATGGTATATATAGATGGCCCATTGAAATAGATTGGCCATACCGAACTTAAAAATGGTGGATCTTTCCATGGCTATGTTAAATAACCAGATGGTAAATGGCTTTAAAAAAAACGGTGAGATTCATTATTTATGGATTATAAGCAATTTATTAAGTGGGATGTACATCCACAGAATTTCCCAGAATGATACCCCCTGGTAAATTAACAGTTCGACCTTGAAAATCACCAATTTTGAGATATTTTGAGTATATATATAACTAATCTTACAACCCCTATCCAGCAGGGTCTATGTTCGTTGGAGGGATCTGGAGGGCATCTTGATAAGAATTCTGACAGAGACTTCCCATCAAAGACCCACGACAGAACAGGAACAAACTGTGCGAAGCCAGACCGAAGATGTGGTCAGGTTCTTTGGGATCTTCAAATGCATTCAAATGTTGCTAGTGTGGCAAAAAATGCCTTCAAAAACCCAAGAAAACTCTGGATATCATACGATTTTTTGATTGGGGAGGGGGGTAAACATCACCACAGAGCCAGCGAGCCCCCGCCTTTAGTACTATCTGCTGCTCAAAGGCAGGTAAAGACCTCATTGGCTCGGCAGTTTTGTGACAGGACAGTATGATTATTTAAAATCGAGATAGAGGAATTTCCGGAGTTTCCTGCTAACCTTTGGGTTGGTTAATGATCATACATGGGGAATATCCATCATTGTGGCCATTGAGAATGGGGGGAAATTATCAACGACGGCATTGCGGGGCTTGCACAAGGCCAACCCTCCAGCCGGGGAGGTATAGACTTCACATGGCACCTGTGACTTGAAACTGCTATCCAGACCTCATCTGTCTTGTGGCTCCATTCCAAAATGTCATGATTTCTCATATGCATCATCTTCTCATAGAGGGTGCAGTTGTAAGTTAAAAGTTATAAGTGTGTATGTCAGCATAGTTTTAAGGGTTATATCCCAACTTCCGAGGGTTGTTACCATGGCTATATCAGTTGTATCCATAATAATTAAGCCTAACTGCACCCCCAAGCACTGGTATATTAACCTCAGCCTAGCAACGCATGTCCTGCGTGGGCTTGCGGTATACAAAGATAGTCACAAAAGACCAGCATTCGACCTGCAAATGCTGTGCGTTCTTCTGGGAAACTTGTGGAATTGTCGTCTTGTTGTTGTTTCCTTTACTCGGAGTCTGGTTGCAGGTGTTTTTTGCAAAAAGGCCGATCTCTGTCACTGAAATAGCGATAAACCACTGGTTTGTATAATATACAGCAATTCATAAATCATCATAAATCCACATTCCTGAACCAAGGTGTTTGTTTGGCGTTTGTCACGTGTCGCGATCGGGATGAATTAATAACAATTCAACCTTAGCAGCTTAGCCATGGTCAACCAAACACAGGGTAGGTTCTGTCAACTGCACTTTGTGAGTTGGAACATGTTGTACCCTCTGGTAATTTCTTACATAGCTATGGAAAATGGCCATAGAAATAGTTGATTTAAGTTGATTTACCCATTAAAAATGGTGGTTTTGCCATAGTTTTCTGTATGTTTACCAGATGGTATATTTCATATATCAATATCATCTAATGCCATTAAAACATATGGATACCCATATCAATATCATATCCTGTTTATCAGATGGAATATTTCTGTGATGGTCAACCCCTAATCTATGGAACAATAAAAGCCATGTTCCAAACCACCAACCAGCGTTGTACATAGATGGCCTCCGGTGCGCAGGATCATGGCCTCAGCAGATCTATCTTGGCAGTGGCAAAAGCTATCACCGTAGTAACCAAACAATAGCTGCTTGGTGGTGCAATAACCATGGTTAATAGTGATTAATAGTGATTAATAGTGATGAATAGTGGTTTTAACATGTTTTAACCATGGTTATTAGTGATTAATACCTGATCTAATGAATAATATAGCTGGTTGGTGGTGCAATAACCATCCTGAAAAATATAAAAGTCAATGGGAAGGATTATCCCATATGGGAAACAAACAATGTTTGAAACCACCAACCAGATAAGGGTTTCATCAGATGCTGCATTTATTCATTTATTGCGGTGATGTAAGGTGACCGTTAGGGAAAACCATGCAAAAAAAAATCCATGCTCCAAACAGCTGAAATCTTCAGGCAGGTGTTAAGGGAAAAAAGCTAGCCACAAGTCTAAATCCGAACCAATATCAACATACTATTTATGTCAACCATTTAGGGCATATCTACATACAAGTGGCTGGTTGCTCAAATAGTTGCAGAAGTGCAAACATATGCTAGCTCAGTCATGAATCGGATACTTTAGATGTATCATCTTGGAAAATTCCCCAAACAGGAACTCAGATTGAAGACACTAGCAACCCTTGAATCCATCTTGCAACACCCAGTTGATATAGTCATATCCCAACCAGCCATGTGGATACCCATTGCAGACGTTTTTAGGCCAGGATTTTCCTGAGAATGATGGTTTCATCACAGGGGTCCCCAAGCGTCAACCTAGACACAGTCCCCATAATTATTCACAATCACCACCATCATCTGAACTATTCTGAAACTAATTGTTCTTTGGCATATAGCTTTCCCAAAATCAAGCATCACCGTCAACGGAACACTTCCAAATCTTCCACACCGGTGGCAGGTCCTTTTTCTGCGGTCAAAACATAAAGTTCAGCTTCTCAAACAGCGATCGCGCACGCTTCTTGGGACACTCGAAAACTAAGTCACCTCCGATCCGCGGGTTGACTTCGAAAATACCTGCGGCGCCATGGCGAAAAAGCGGGACGTTTGAATGACGTGCCTGGGAAAGAATATCAAGTCTCAAGGGCAGCAACATGTAGAAATGACATGACATGAATCACTCAAAGATACTCAGATACTCGTTTGAGGCACTTTTTGCTAAAAGTATCCTTTACCCATGCTGCGGCGTAATTTCAAACTTGGGGCATTTTTGGATTTCTGCTGCGGCGTTTTTTTGCTTCTAAACAAAAACTGTGCAAGAAGCTGGAGCACGTGGTTTCAGCATTTTTCAGGGCTTCACTACATCCTGGTCAGGAACTTTGACTCACTTATCTCAATGCAAACTGCAACAAGCTGGTAATATTTCGGACCAGTCCGACCGAAAGTTGTAGCTCTTGTTGTTGTTCTGGGATTAACGTGCAAGTTTGGACAGCCACGTTTTTTTCGAAATTCCCCGGTCAGGTCAATCAAATAATGACGTGTTGCGTAATTACGGCGTATTTTGGCGCAGCAATGGCGGCGTAATTTGGCGTAATTGCGGCGTAATTTTGCGTAATTGCGGCGTAATTTGGCATAACTGCCTCAAAGTTGTTGCAACATGGCTCAATGACTCCATTGTGTTTGTTGGGGATGGTTTTTGTCAATTTCAGGGATCATGTGGCCGCAGCGTTCTTCTTGCCAATTGCCCAAACTTGTTGTATTTGCATCTCTGTACTTTGCAGCTAACTAAACAAAGTCTGATGTGTCACATGACATAGCCAAGAGATTAGGAGAGGCTGAACGTAGCAGAATGTGTAGTTGCTGGGCGCTTAACCAAGAAGTTACCAAGGTTCTGATTTGCGACATTTTTTTGTTGCTGTCGCGTTTTCTTTTTGCTGCGGCTGTTTCTTGCATTGCGGCAAAAATAAACGCCACAATGGATTGCGGCACTTTTTTCATCCTCCAAGTGGTTCTAGGTATCTGAAGTGTAGGAATAACTTAATAGATACTAATGCGTGCATACGCATGCATGTGTGAACATCATTGACTATCAAAATAGATCTATCAAAATCTATATCAAACAACAGAAATTGTCAGGATTCTCAAGCCCCTTTCCTGTCACCGAGCCGCAAATCGTCCCATCTCTTCTCAGCTTGTAGCCCAGGCAGCAAATGCCGCTAAACTCCGACAACAGCACTCTCATCACATCCAAATGGGCTTCTGGAACACTGACATATTCATGGCGCACCTCGTCAACAAAAGGCCACACATACTCTTCTCCATCATACTCATACCTTGGGCTTGTCAACCGGGGCAGCGTGTGTGTGTGTGTGTGCGTGTGAACTGGATTACATCATGCCAAGTCATTCTGGGTGAAGACGTCCCAAAACACTGGGGCCCCATCATACCCCATCCATCCGGGTCATCCGGGTCGCAAGGTGTTCACATAATCCACCACTTCACCCTTGAGCACTAGCAATGTCGTTGAGTATTCCAAGCGTCCGGGCACCAGTTCTTGCAAGACCCACTTCGAAGCCACACCTTGACCGCCCGTAAAGCGTTCCACTTCCTCGATGGAGTGCACCACGTGGGTGTCTTTTCCAAAGGTTCCCAGTTTAGGTTTCAGAATGCAGGGATACTCCGCCTCCAAAGCACTCAAATAGGACTTGGGAGTGAACTCTCCGATGCCTTTGTCAACGGCATACCTGGGTTGCTACAACAACCCTGAAAAATGCGTAGGCTGAGACGAGATCATCAACAACTTTGAAGCCGCCCAACCGATCTACCTGAAACATTGCCAAATTTGGCATCAAAACAAGTACCTGTTGCCCTTCAGGGGGTCAGTTGTTGCAAACCTTCCCGATGCGGGGTTCAGTTTGAGTTGGCTTTGCCAGTCGCTAGTCCACTCAGCGCTGAATTGGATGGTTAAATCATGTAGTTAAATCATAAAAAATGACAACAATAATGGTTCCCAGGGCCTTTTGACTCATATCCGAATTATCACCAATTATTGCGTTGAAAAAAACCAGAGGTGTTGGAATACAACATATCTGAGGCTTCAGGTAGTTTAAACCGCTTTCTGTTTCATTTCATGATTTATCCCCCATCCGTTTAGTCATCCTCCACAACGGGGTTAAAAGTAAACATATTCGAAACCACCAACCAGACCCCTCGTTGATAATGATGATGTGGTAAACCCATAAAAAAAATACGTTACTTCGTGTGATCCCCACCATGACATTTATATATATGTTCTTACTGGCACATCTTCTGGCATTCTATCTGACGTATCTTCTGACATTCTATTTGGCATTCTATCTGGCATATCTTCTGGCATATGATCTGGCATATCTTCTGGCATTCTATCTGGCAAATCTTCTGGCATTCTATCTGGCATATCTTCTGGCACTCTATCTGGCATATCTTCTGGCATTCAATCTGGCATTCTATCTGGCATATCTTCTGGCATATATTCTGACATATCTTCTGGCATTCTATCTGGCATTCTATCTGGCATTCTATTTGGCATTCTATCTGGCATATCTTCTGGCATATCTTCTGACATTCTTTCTGACATTCTTTCTAATTTTCTTCTGCACATTCTTTGTCCCATATCTTCCTACATGAGGTCCGGCAGGGAACACTTGGTGTGGATACTCGCGGTTGAGGTCCGGCAGGGAACACTGGGCGTGGATGGTCGTGGTTGAGGTCCGGCAGGGAACACTGGGCGTGGATGGTCGTGGTTGAGGTCCGGCGGGGAACACTGGGCGTGGTATGTCCTTGTGGTTTGAGTCCGCAGAGAACCTGTTGATCGGCGGGTACGCAGTTGGGACTAGGACGACGAGGACGACGAGGACGACGAGACGACAAGGACGACAAGGATGACAAGGAGGACGAGGAGGACGAGGAGGAGAGGAGGAGGAGGAGGACGAGGCAGGAGGCAGGAGGCAGGAGGCAGGAGGAGGAGGCAACTGACATAAAATCTAACAACCCTCACCTGGCAGGTGGGGAACAAACGCATTTAAGATTGGATTTTTACATGTTTTTACATGTTTTTACATGGTTTGCCACCCACTATTTTGATCTATTTAATCTATTTTGGTGATAGGTGCCATTTTTGGGTCCCAAAAAATCTCCCGTTTCGCCGTTTCGCCCAGCGGCCGAAGCATGCCCGCCTTGTCGCGCAGCGTCTCGACCACGCGGGGCTCCACGTTCACCACGCGCCACCCAGCGTGCCGTAGCTCCGCCTGCCGCTCCGCCAGGCGTACGGCCACCGTGTCTTGGCTCGGCAGGAGCCAACTGCCAGCAACGGAGCAGTGGGGAATGGCGCCATCACCTAGCGGAAGGGATGGTCTTCAACATGTTCCCATTGGTTTTTTTAGTCGAAATCCTGGGAAAATTCGATTGTGGGGGCTTTACCATCTGCTGAAAGTTTCAGTTTTAGTGGATTTATACTGTAGGTGGAACCCCCCCAAAAAAACAACAAAAAAACGGTTAGAAAACCGTCTGAATCCCGCAAGTGTATAGATCCTGAAATTGATCAAGGGCTCCCAAATGTGGGCCATATGTACTGTTGCATGTGACCTTGCTCAATCAAATGGAACCATTGAAGCTGGGCGATTATGATTTACTAACTTTAGATCTTGCAAACAAATCACACTATATCACACCATCCAAATATGGAGGTACGGTAACCCACCTTGCCAGTCAATCTCATTGCGGACCCCACAGCCATACTGTTTCATTTCGCGGGTCCATTTCAGCATCGGAGTGGTGTGAAAACGTTTGGCCTGGGCTCTGAGCTGGGAAAAAGTCGTCATGCAAGAAGTGGGTTTTGTCCAAACGTGGGGCATACCCCTAATTCTCTGAAATTGCGATTGAAGATGTTTAAGTTTATAACATTTTATAACATACCCCACCTTCAGATTGAGCTCATGGATCGTGTTCAACATATCCCGAGAATAGTTGTTCAAAAAGAGACAAACTTGAAAGTTTGGAAAGCGGTTCTTAGTTCTTTCGTATGCTGTTACCAACCTCTCCTTCGTGAAAGGCTGGGATGGCCTCCCTTGGCCTCCCTTTCTCCACATTGCCAACTGGACGGCCACGAAATTTGCATGCAGCTGTCAATCTTACTACTGAATGGTTGTGCAACCATGCCTGGTTCATCCCATGCCTGCCAAATAAAACTTGGAACTACGTGGAACCACCCCTTCAGAATCCTTCAGAATCCTGCAGAATCCTTCAGAACTCAACGAAAAAATCCGGCTGGGGCTTCTTTTTGCCGAGTTGCAGTGGGTGCAGGCCCCCAATTTCTCAGCTCCTGCAGCAGTTTCGTGCTTTGATCTTTGGCCTCCCGGCAGGCGCGGATGACATGGCTGTAGCACTCCACGTCGGGCTCCACCTCTTTGGCCCAGGCGTCGTTCAGCAAATCCAGGGCTTGCTCCCAGGCACCAGCTCTTCTACAAGCGCAAATGCAGGCGAAATAACCTGAGACAGGTGGAGTGAGGCCATGATTGAAATCTTGAAATCCACATAGAAGTTGAAATTACAGTTTGGTTTGGTGCACTCTGACAATTCGCCAATGCAATCCAGATCTACTTGAAACGTGGGATCAACAGACTTCATTGTTCAGGGAGGATTGGTTCAATATATCCACCCACACCTAAAACCACGTCCGTTTTTGTCCAATCATTCAGGCTCCTGGACCATTGGATGCTGCTAGTTTTGGACTGGCAGTTTGGGTTCCTAAGAGTTTCAGAACAGATCTGATCACTGAGAGATACTGAGAGATTCCCCGGGCCCCCTGGGCCATTTTTTGCACCAGGTCACTGGTTACATCTGGCGTCACCCCCAAGGATCGCATGTCCTGCAGGGTCTCCAGGGCACCCTCCCAGTCCGCCTGCCAGGCGCTATCTGCCAGCATCTCATTGTAGCTACGCCTGGGCTCCCAGCAGCGACCCCAGCAACACCAAAACCATAAAAATGGCGCGAAACTATATCCAACTATATCTAACACTATCTAACTGGGTCTAACTATGTCTAACTCCTTATTTTGTACCACATCAAGCCAAAATATCCAAAATAGTGAAACACATACAGATGAAAATATATAAAACTATGAAAACCACTATGAATCATACAGATGGACATATTTCCATACATGTAGAACACCATAGAACACCTACAACTATGAAAGAAAAATCATGTGCTGCGATCAGTTCACCAAGGATCACTTCTAGCAGAGCGCTGGACACATTGGGATCATGTTCACTCATGCCGAGTAGTGGAAACCACGAAGAAAACACCAAAAAAAAACAAGAAAAAACACTATCCATACATTCAATTCAAAATCACAAAGAAAAACTGAATCTGAAACAATCTGAATAATCTGAATCCAACAAAAACGAAGAGCAGGTATTAGAAGTTCCAAGTCTCACATAGGCAGCTGCATCCAGAAACTCTTCTGGCTGCTGATCTCCAGCTGGAGGCAGCGGCGGCCCAAAGGCACAGCGCGGCGAAAGGCGCAAAGCGCGCGAGCGCAGCAGGCCGGGAGCTGGGCTGACTCCATTGCCACGCGCGGAGGCTACGCTTGACCACATGAAACAACTAAAATGGGAGGGGGGCGGGTCCCGATGTTTTTGTTCTTGCCATCGCCATCCCGAAGGTTCAGCTAAGGCTGATGGATTGTTTGGAACACATGAGAAGAGACAAATGATCTCTACGGTGCACCAATATCTGCTTTTTTTTCCAAATTTTCTCGCTGACCTCCACTTGACATTGACATTGGTAACTCGGCTCCTTGGCTCCTGAAACACATATAATTTAAAAAAACCTGGCAGCTCAAATCATATAGCCATGGCCCGGTTTCATTTTAGATCTTCGTCTTCCTTCGTGTTCCAAGCATCCCCAAACAAAATTTGGCCATGAAATCGAACATAATTTGAGGTTTCCAACAGCTGCGAAGTGGCCGTCCAGAGATGTACAATGCTGGTGTCCTTGATCAGGCCATCCCGGATGGTTAGTAGCAGTGAGATGTGTCCAAATAATGTGTGCCAATGAAAATGAAGTGCAGTTCAACCACATAATATACCATATAAGAAAGATATATTTATAATGGGTAAGTATTAGTCCCACATAATACAATAATATATAATATATATATATATATTATTTATATTATATATTATATTATTATTAATTATATATATATGTATATTATATATATGTAAATATATTATATATATTATATTATCTATTACTGTATATGTATATTTATTTTATATATATATAATATATTATATGTATATTTATTGTATATAATATATTTATATATATATATTACATATATATATATATATATAATATTATATTTTATATTATCTATATACAAATATTAAATTATATATATTATATATATATTATATTATATTATATTATATTATATTATATTATATATATTATATATATGATATATATATATATATTTATATATATATTATTATATATATATATATATATTATGTTTATTTTGTTTATTATTACACTATAGACTATATTATATTATTATATTGTTACATAGTACATTCCAATTTGGCTAGGATGTGCAGGTCAAAGGGCTTCCAGGATGTGACAAAACACGCACCTATTTTACTTATCAGTTCACGCGTATGTCACATATGTCAGTGAACAGGTGACAAAGTGTCAACTGAACAAAACAAATGTGAGGTTTTTAGGATTGGAGATGATTCATGAAACTGCTTCATTCGAACTGACCATTGTATTCAAAGCAACGCCTTGAACGGTTGCGATAAATCATTGCTGTCTCACTGTCTCCGACCCATGTTTCCTGAAGGAGATTTCAAAGCCAGCAGTCCAGCCATCACTGAAAGTAGAACCATCATCATATAGTTCAACAGGCTTATCCCTCAAGCAGCCCCGACTTCGTCCTCATGTAGCACCAGAACATGCTTCTCAGAAAGCTCAGTGTCCAGTGGAACGCGCTGAAATCACAATCTAAGTGCGGGATTTCTGAAACCACTCATCAATCTACATCCCAAATCCACAAGTTGCCCCGATGACATCTTACACAGTTGATTCCTTCAACCCATTCCCACAAAATAATCGTTTGGCATCATCATATTTAGAAGCCACCCGGCAGTTTAAGTTTTAGCCTTATGGATGTATCACATAATATTGTATAAATAATATGTGTATAAACATGTATAAACTATATATGCACATATCAACTATGCTATAGTAATGATATATGTATATATGTATATGTATATGTTAAACATGTAAATCTTACATATACGTGTAAGTCATATATACAATATAATGTGTAACTGTATTTATAAATACAAGTATATAAATTAAAGATGTCTCTAACTTTATATGTTATATGGGTTTATATTATGTGTGTATATGATGATTCATGTTACCCTTAGAAAACATATTATGGTGGTGCCTTTCAGGGTATATCTATCATCCCCACGTTGCCCAGGTTCCCATCGTTTCCAGGTTCGAAAGCTGCTGCCCAAGGCGCGGCTTTCTTCAACAAGGCGCAAATCGTCTCCACCTCGGGGGAAACTTAAAAACTGCAGAGCCCTGTAGGATTTCAGGGCAAAAACCATGGTTTGTAGCATTGTTGTTTAGCTTAAACGCCATTGATCTAAATTAAAGTTCTTTGATTGTCTTGGGACCAGTAGAGTGTTGCGAAGACTAAAAGAACAACATAGAGTTGCCCTGGAAAGCAACTTCTTCACTTCCTCGCTGCTCATGTCTTGTACATTGCCATGTTCTGAAGCCTCTTTTTTTTGTTCGTTTCTTTACCAACAAAAAAGCCAGCAAATCGCTAAGATCGAAGCAGTACGGCCTTCAGGGTCTGGATGAAGCTGAAAAGCCCAGGCCTCAGGTTCCAGGGATTTCTTGGGCAAAAGATAGTGGTGTTTCAAACATGTGTCAATTATGCTCCGGCAATCAAACATGGTGTGCCGGAAAACCACTCGTTTCTAGATGATTTTCCCATTAAACCTCCATGTTTAGTGGATTTCTGCATATTTTCCCATATCTTCCAATGATTTTCCCACGTTTGATTCCAGAATGTATGTCAATTCTCCTAGGGAATTTGCCTTGAAGAACTTCTCGGGGAGGGAAACCTATCAACTATCAGGCTTCCAATGACTTGGGGGTGTTATTTTATTTAAATGCTTGCCAGGCATGGCGAACATATATGCTGCCTGGTGCATATGAATATCCACTTATAAGTGAGGTCAGTAATACATAGATCGAATAAACAAAGCATAATTGAAACCTCTGATATTCATTGCAACTGATGTTGTGCGTCCCTTGACTCCGACAATTCATAGACAAGCAAACGATCAGCCAACAGCCTGTGAAATCACCGCGATGTTGTCGCCCGGCACTGGCTTCTCGTGCAAGTGACCTTAAACAACGCGGCAACCTAAGGTCATGAATCATCCTGGTGTGTTGGGTTGTCCATATTGGATGCATATTGTCCATTGTCCATCAACAGTCGCATGCGACCAACTGATTCTCACAGGTTTTTTTCGGAAAAAAAGGGCTGCCAGGGACTCCTAATGTCTAAGATAACTTGGATTTGCTTATTTAAAGAGCCCAAAAAACATCCAAAAATCACCCATTTTTCCTGAAGATTTCCCCATTTCCAGTCCCTTGGGGTGATTTTTAGTAGTCCATTGACCCTGAACTTCGCCACCAAGGCGCTAATATCTTGACACCGCGGCCATGGCACGGGCAACTTCAGGATTGCCGTCCATGGAATAAATTTCACCTCTGGCCTCAAAAGTCACCCAAGATCGCCCAGCAAGAAACTAACAAACAAAATGCTTGGTCCTGCTTGGTGGCTTCAGTGGATTTCATTGTAGTGATGTTGTTGGAGCTGACGATCTGATGATCTCATCTCATGATCTGATGTCTGAGGTAGGGTAAATGCTCTCCGCTTTGTTACATATGCTCACATTCCAAAATAACCCCCAAGGCAACATAAGGCAACCAAACACCCTGCTACACATCAGGTATCTATGCTGAGTTGATGTGCCTGGCACCCCAGCCACAAGCATCAACACCCCACACTGGAAAAACGCCAAGTTGCGGAATGTTGCTGAGGCTGCCAATGGGCATCGCGCAACAAATACCTAATGCTACAAACTACTGTTCAAGGAAAGTGTTGCCAAGTGCGTGAAGTAACGCTGATCAGGGGAAACAAAAAAAAACTAGTCTTGTCGGCTGCGGGTGAAAGCAACAGCGCTTCAACTCAAGAGTCAAGCTTTGGACCTAAAAAGAACGTGGCATGCCACCTCTGTTCAATGTACTGTGGGAAAGCAATCATGCATCGATCTGGCTCAGGCATTGGATGAAAATGCACTTGTGAACCTAACACAAGATTTGTGGCACCAGGGACTGTTTTGAGCCCAAATCCAGGTCAAATACGCACCTGACCATTGACAATTGAAGTTGCTGCCATCCCAAGTTCTAATAGTTCTAATGCAGGCGAGATGTGAAAATGACATAAAATGACTCTCTGACTAAGTCTGACTACGACCAGAATATGGCCAGAATATGACAACAGTAGGATAACTGTAGTAATTAACCGGTAACATGTCAGAATATTACTCATATGGCAATCTTCCAGAATTTGACTAGGTGTAAGCGCTAGCAGCCGCTAGCACACTACTCGGCATAGTCATTGCCAAGCCGAGTTATGACCCCGTTGCCATTCCAACGGGAAAGCGAAAAAGCTCCGGTGGCCACCTGACTTCTTCAACTTTGGAAGTGGTGCCAAGGGACGCCTCCCGCTCAGTTCCATGTCGAATGCTCCGAAAAATAAGAAAAAACATATGGTAATACATGTAATGTAAAAAATAAACTATATGCAAGCAGGTATGTATGTGTGCAAGTTATATTATATTTATATATAGAGCATGTGTGTGTAAAACGTCTGCGTGAGTGTAATATGTCATAGTTTGTTTTAATATATATATATATAATAACTATGTATATGTATATATATATATGCACTGATGATCTGATGCGTTTTTGACTCTTCCAAACAAATCGAAACCTCTCTGTTCGGAAAACAACGCCTGGCTCTGGACTGAAAGAGAGGACTCTCCCACAGCCATGCTTGTTCCAGGTGGGCCTTGGCGATGACGTCAAGAGATGGGACAACCCTCTCCAAAAATATCTAAAAAAATGGCTTTGATATGCTGACGTCATTTTTTTGAGGGTGGATAAAGAAAAACTGGACATTACACCACTTTGGTGCCATTTTCACGAGTCAATGCAGGAACTGTATGAACTCGTGAGTGCCAAAGAATGCGCCTGTTGTTTTCTGCTTCTGTGAAGAGGCGGAACCAGCGGCTTATTGGTACCAGCAAATCCCATCCAATTCCCGCCTTTCTGAAGCGAAACTCATCATCAATCCTTAGCATCTCTGGCTGAGTTCCACCTTGGATAGCTCCATGCCATTGAAAAATGCATAGTTAAACCGATCTCTCATAGTTCAACTGATAAAAGTAGGATGATTATGGATAGTATTCAACTAGATTCAACTGATAGTTCAATTACCCATCCATGGATGATATATAGAAATTGCTGACCATAGTTCAACTGATCATCCCATATCAGCACTTCATCATCCCAAGCTCTTGAGGTTGCTACCCCATGACACAGTGTCCCTGGCGGGGGGCATCAGGTGTCTCTGGGCTGAAGGATTTTACGTTTTGGGTTCCCCATGGGTTTCCCACATCTATAGTTAAGGACATACACTTAGAACACCATTTGGAAAACGCATGGTGGAAATTTCGGCAGCGGAATGTGTTCTAAGTATACACTTAGAACACCTAAAAAAACATACACTTAGAACATGTTCTAAAAGGTACTTAGAACACTTTGGGGGTAATTTATGTGTTCTAAGTGTATATCCGCAATTTAAATTATGTAAGGATTGGTACAGCCTTCAGCAGGGGTCAATGGATACATAGACAATTAATGTGATAAACCCAAAAATAAACCATCCCATTAAATAATCATTTGGGCCACATGTGGAGGTCATTTTACATCATCTCAAATAGAGCTATACCGAAAATTATCTAATTGGAAATATCTTTTTGGGGATGGTATACCCACATTCCCCAGCTGTATATATATATATATTATATATATACATATGTATGTATACCAGGGTACCTTTGCAAATCCACATAAAGCAACTAGCAAAGGAAGATGGGATTGGAGTGAAAATTCAGCTGGAACCCCAAACCAAAGGGCGTTCAAACTCTCCGTTGGTGGCCAACAACAACTAAATTCATCTCAAAAGTATATCTATACATATATATACATATATAGATGTGTGTTTAGATGGAAGTTAACACATTTTTGGGTGATCTTGGTGGCCTCCCTAGGTGGCCAACCACACACTTAGAACACTTCAAACATGTTAAATTTATTATGAAGTTGGTGACTGGTGTTAATGTTTGACACAGACTCACACACACATGCTCTCTGTCCTTCGAGTGGCCAACAGCCAAAAAAAACATGTCACTAGTAATTGATTAATTATATTTTCAAAATGCACAATTAAACACATTTCTGGGTGATGTTGGTGACCTCCCTACTAAGTGGCGAAACAAACACTTAAAACACTCGCAAAAAAGGACAAATGCAATACTCAAGTTGGGGATTGATACACATGGTCTCCGTCCTTCGAGGGGCCAACAACAACTAAACCAATCTCAAAAAATATCCATTTCAAAAGGGAACTTAAACAAATTTCTGGGTGATGTTGGTGGCCTCCCTAGGTGGCGAACCGGACACTTAGAACACTTGTAATAAGGGAACAGTGTACTCAAGTTGGTGACAGTGTTTGATATATATGCTCCCCGTCCTTCGAGTGGCCAACAACAAATAAACCCATGTCACAAGTAATTATCGATCTTAAAAGGGCACTTAATGCATCTTAAAGCACATGTCTGGGTGATGTTGGTGGCCTCCCTACTAAGTGGCGAAACAAACACTTAAAACACTTGCAAAAAAGGAAAATGCAATACTCAAGTTGGTGACAGTGTTTGATACACATGGTCTCCGTCACGTCCTTCGAATGGCCAACAACAAATAAAAACCCATGCCACAAGTAATCATTAATTTATAAACGAAACTAAAAAGCAAAAACATATCTGGGTGATGGTAGTGGCCTCCCTAGGTGGCGAACCACACACTTAGAACACTTGGAAAAAGGGAAATTTATACTCAAGTTGGTGACAGTGTTTGATACACATGCTCTCCGTCAGTCGAGTGGCCAACAACAAATAAACCGGTATGACACAAGTAACTATAAATTTAAAAAGGACGCTTTAACACATTTCTAGGTGATGGTGGTGGCCTCCCTAGGTGGCGAACCCCTCACTTAGAACACTTGCAAAAAGGGAAAAACAACAATATTCAAGTTGGTAGCACTGTTTGATACACATGCTCTCCGTCCTTCGAGTGGCCAACAACAAATAAACCCATGTCACAAGTACTTATCAATTTTCAAAGGGAACTTAAACAAATTTCTGGGTGATGTTGATGGCCTCCCTAGGTGGCGAACGAGACACTTAGAACACTTGTAATAAGGGAACATTGTACTCAAGTTGGTGACAGTGTTTGATACACATGCTCTCCGTCCTTCGAGTTGCCAACAACAAATAAACCCATGTCACAAGTAATTATCTATCTTAAAAGTACACTTAATGCATCTTAAAGCACATGTCTGGGTGATGTTGGTGGCCTCCCTACTAAGTGGCGAAACAACACACTTAAAACACTTGCAAAAAAGGAAAAATGCAATACTCGAGTTGGTGACAGTGTTTGATACACATGGTCTCCGTCACGTCCTTCGAGTGGCCAACAACAAATAATAAAAACCCATGCCACAAGTAATCATTAATTTATAAACGAAACTAAAAAACAAAAACATTTCTGGGTGAGTGGCCTCCCTAGGTGGCGAACCACACACTTAGAACACTTGGAAAAAGGGAAAATTATACTCAAGTTGGTGACAGTGTTTGATACACATGCTCTCCGTCAGTCGAGTGGCCAACAACAAATAAACCGGTATGACACAAGTAATTATAAATTTAGAAAGGACGCTTTAACACATTTCTAGGTGATGGTGGTGGCCTCCCTAGGTGACGAACCACACACTTAGAACACTTCCAAAAACAGACATTTAATACTCTGGCTGGTGACTGGTCAGGATGTTTGACAGACCTGTTCTTCATCCCTCCAATGGTCAACAGCAACTAACCCCATCTCAAAAGTATTTGTTTTTAAAGGAACCAAATAATCACATTTCTGGGTGATGTTGGTGGCCTCCCTAGGTGGCGAACCACTCACTTAGAACACTTGCAAAAAGGGAAAAACAACAATATTCAAGTTGGTAGCACTGTTTGATACACATGCTCTCCGTCCTTCGAGTGGCCAACAACAAATAAACCCATGTCACAAGTACTTATCAATTTTCAAAGGGAACTTAAACACATTTCTGGGTGATGGTGGTGCCTTCCCTAGGTGGCGGACCACACACTTAGAACACTTGTAATAAGGGAACCTTGTACTCAAGTTGGTGACAGTGTTTGATACACATGCTCTCCGTCCTTCGAGTTGCCAACAACAAATAAACCCATGTCACAAGTAATTATCTATCTTAAAAGTACACTTAATGCATCTTGAAGCACATGTCTGGGTGATGTTGGTGGCCTTTTTAGGTGGCGAACCAATCACTTAGAACACTTCCAGAAAAAGAAAATCAATGATTACTCTCGTTGATGACCGGTCAGAATGTTTGACACACCGTTTCTTCATCCCTCGAGTAGTAAACAGCAACTAACAACATCTCACAAGTATGTTGTTTAAAAGAAGACTTATATAAGCACTGGGTGATGTTGGTGGCCTCCCTAGGTGGCGAACCACACACTTAGAACACTTGCAAAAAAGGAAAAATGCAATACTCAAGTTGGCGACAGTGTTTGATACACATTCTCCCCGTCCTTCGAGTGGCCAACAACAAATAAGAACCCATGCCACAAGTAATCATTAATTTATAAACGAAACTAAAAAACAAAAACATTTCTGGGTGATGG